TTTAAAAAATAGATTGTTCTATATCTATGTAAAGTGCATGAGAAGGACATTAAGAAACCGAAAAAATTAACTCTCTGGGTTAATTAGGTCACGTGCTAGAGCAGTCCAAAGTTGTGAATTTGTTTTTTTTTGGACAGCTACAAAACTGGAAGTACAGGTCGGAGGTCAAATGTTAAAGTATCAAATGATAGCCAAGGTCAATGACCTTTGACCCTATAAAGGTTAAGGTCATCAAAGGTCAAGGTCACATGGTGTGGGTGTTTCAAGTTGGAAAAAAATTCAACCAGAAGTTGCAAAAGAGCTAAAGCGAAATTCAAAATACGGCTCCCAATGTTTTTTGCGCAATCGATTGCGGAATACATACATCAAATTTGAGCATATCAACATTTACCCTGAGGCCCCATTTTGAATTTTACTTTCAATATGTTTTTTCAATATGGCCGCCGAAGTATCACTTCCTGTCTGGATTTTTATTTCTTCATTTTTTTGTAATAGCATTTTCTTACGATCAGCATAAATTCCGTTGACCTATTTCAATTACACCGGAAGTTATTCGACCGGAAGTAGATTGTACTTTCAATTGATTCCCCGTTTAAACCCGGAAGTAAAGTTAAATATTTGACTGTACCATATTATTTACTTTAGTAATTGCAGTTTTGTTTTGTTTTGCAAATGACTATTTTTCATTTTTTTTTTTCGAATTTTACCTTCGCTTGTTTTCTAAGAAGGCAACATGCCACAGACTGTCTGTTGTTGTTTTTTGGTCAAAATAGTGGACAATTATTTGTTAAATGTAAATTGGCACCATTTTGACCAACCCGAAATGAGCCGTGGACAATGGCTCTTTTTCAATTTTTTCCATTAATCAGCTTTAATACTCGTCTGAATTTGCTTAAACTGTACTGTTTATTACTTCGCGCTAATGACTACAAGATAGCAATTGAAAAAATCGACAATTTTGACTTTTGTCGCTGACTTTTTGAGTTCCAATTTTTGAGTTTTTTAACCTTTTTTCTGACTTCTACAATTCTATTTTGATCAATTTGAAAACTTACAGAGTGATAGACACTTTCATTGCGAACATAAACTAATTTTCAAAATTTGGATATCACTTCCGGTTTTGACGCTATTCGCTTCTAAAATATAAAATTCAACTTCCGGAATTTTGAAGATATTTCAAAAATTCTTTTTGCAATATGTTACAAATGGCCATACAAAAAATTTCAGATCAAAAAATCCAACCCGGATGTAACAGAGAAGCCGCCATATTGATATGTCAAACTTCTGTACAATTTAAAATGGGCCTCAGGGTATAGAGCGCTTTTCATAATTTTGGTATATCTGGATATCACAATCGATTGCGAAAAGAAATTTGGAAGCAGATTTTTGAATTTCGATTTTGCTTTTCTTTTATTTCCGGTTAAAATTTTTCGGTAATGTCCAAAATTTCAAAGGCTCCTATTTCGTGACCTTGACCTTTGGTTACCTTGTGGCCTGAACAAAATTTGTTGCTCTTGATGATATCTATCCAGAGATGTACTGATTTGTGCCATGCAATGTTTACTTCCAGTTTTATAGCGGATTGAAAATTACGATTTTTATCTTCAAAGAGCTCTGACACGTGACCTAATTTACATACACCAAAAATTCTTATTGAATCTTACTAGTGTTCATCTGCCCTTTGTAATGATATATAACACTAGATATTTCAATCAAAATTGCGCTTTTTAATATTTGAAAATTTTGTACTTTCTTCTATAGTAACTGTGCGTAATTTTCAATAAATCGAAATGGGGCCTCAGGGTGTAATCCAATTTGTGTAAATTTGATATCTATGGTATCTAATATCAATTGCTAAATAATATTTGAGAACCGATTTTTGAATTTTGATATTGCTTTTTATTTATTTCTGGTTGAAAAATATGAATACTTTAAAGGGTCGTATATCGTGACCTTGACCTTTGGTAATCATGTGACCAGAACAATTTTGATAGCTCTCGTCGCGATCTTTCCAATGGTATATTAACCTTTATTGTACGGTGTTTACTTCCGATTTTATCGCCATTTGAAATTGATGCATTTTATCTTGAAAAAGTCGGTTTTCCGCTTGTAAGTTTTTTTTGTGGTCTAAACGATAAAGGTAGTTTGCTCCCTTCAACTGTTGTTGAATGCAATGTGAGTTGAAGTGATCTGTTGAATATGCTTTGCGTTTGGGCGATCTATATCCAGTTAATTATGATAGGAAATTATGTTACTGTTACGATACTTTGCGGTGCAGTTTTAAGCGTAAAATCAGAAATGTTACGCACTGCATCAGAACCTCGCGAAGCCTATGGATCTAGTGTCTCTTTGCATTTAAAATTTCAGATCAATCGATGCAAAAACAAAAAAGTTGCAAAAAAATTGCTGTTTTTTGAAGCCTGTAAAACCGGAAAGAGGTGTCGGACAATTTTGCTCTGTCTGCTATCATGCGTACAATGTTAAATGATGTTAAAAATTTCAAGCATGTACAATTATTAGATCATGAGATATTCATTGTTATAAGTTAAAAGTTTGAGTTTATACGGCAAAAACTAAATTACGCACAGTTACTATAGACGTCAGTGTATTAAAACTTTAAAAAGCGCAATATTGATCAATATATCAAGTGTGATATATCCTCAGGAAGAAGAAATCGCACACATTAATGAAAAATGTAAAAATCGGCTTCTAAAATTTTTTCTTAGCAATTGATTGCAGATTCTATAGACACTAAAATCACACCCAACGGCTTTACCCCTAAGGCCCCATTTTGAGTTTTATAAAAATTAGGCGTATCAAGACTGCGTCTGACCTTATACTTCTGGGTCAAATTTATTCATTCCAACATCTTTATGGGGACTACTGTAACTAATTACAAAAAGAATTTTTCAAATATCTGCAAAATTCCGGAAGTTGAAATTTCTTTGCGAATAACATCAAAACCGGAAGTGATATCGAAACTTTGAAAATTGATTTTAGATGGCAATCAAAATGCCTAACCATCTGTAAGTTTTCATATCGATCGAAATAAAATTGTAGAAGTTAAAAAAGTGAAAAACCTCAAAAATTGAAACTAAAAAAGTCAGCGACAAAAGTTTAAATTTTAGGACTTTTTAATTGCTATCTTACAGCCGTTAGCGCGAACTTATTAACAAAAAAAGATCAATCAAAATCCAATCAAAATTGGAGCCGTAAATTAGCAAAAAACGTAAAAAATGGTTTTTCTCCTACGTCATTTCTGGTTGGAAAAAAAACATGAAGATAGCTTGCGTTGCAAGATAACATACGCCCACTGGCAGCTGTCAGAAATAATAAAACAGTCTTTAGTGACTAAAGTACGAATTTTCTCAAATTGAAGAAATTATTTATGCTGAATATTTCCACAAAATTTTTCAAAATCAATATCAATAACCCAAATACAACAAACAATTAAATCACACAGCTCTAATCAAGGGCAAAAAACAACTTTTGACGCATGTTTAGAAAGTCAAGGGCAATAACTCAAAAAATGTTCATCAAAAATATCTCTTGTTAGCACTTGTCCGAGATCTTATCAATTCCAATGATCACACCAAGTTTCATCAGAATCGGTTGAAAACTGTAGCTTCTATTGTGCTCACAAACAAATTTTGACGCGTTTTTCGTAATTAATGGCATTAACTCAAAAACATTTCATCGAAAATGCGTCAAGTTAGCACTTGTCCGAGATCTTATCAATTCCAATGATCACAACAAGTTTCATCAGAATCGGTTGAAAACTGTAGCTTCAATCCTGCTCAAAAACTATTTTTAACAAATATTGACGCGTTTTTACAAAGTCAAGGACAATAACTCAAAAACCATTCATCGAAAATGCGTCAAATTAAAACTTGTCCGAGATCTTATCATTTCCAATGATCACACCAAGTTTCATCAGAATCGGTTGAAAACTGTAGCTTAAATCCTGCTCACGAACTATTTTTAACAAATTTCAACGTGTTTTAACAAAGTCAAGGGCAATAACTCAAAAACCGTTCATCGAAAATGCGTCAAGTTAGAACTTGTCCGAGATCTTATGAATTCCAAAGATCACACCAAGTTTCATCAGAATCGGTTGAAAACTGTAGCTTCAATCCTGCTCATGAACTATTTTTAACAAATTTCAAGGTGTTCTAAGTCAAGGGCAATAACTCCAAAACCGTTCATCGAAAATGCGTCAAGTTAGAACTTGTTCGAGATCTTATGAATTCCAATGATCACACCAATTTTCATCAGAATCGGTTGAAAACTGTAGCTTCAATCCTGCTCACGAACAATTTTTAACAAATTTCAAGGCGTTCTAAGTTAAGGGCAATATCTCAAAAACCGTTCATCGAAAATATGTCAAATTCGAACTTGACCGAGATCTTATCAATCTAAAGCATCACACCAAGTTTTATCAAAATCAGATAAAAACTGTAGTCTCTATAGTGCTCACAAGAAATGTTGACGGACGGACCGACGGACAGGGGCGACGACAATATACGACCACATATTCATGTGGGCGTATAAAAATACATTCATCAGATTTAGTCTCGCAGCATTAACGGGAGAAATGTTAACAGTATTCATGTGGCATGTTTAGTTTTGGCTGGGCGCTCTGACCAGAATTCGAAAAAAAAAAAAACAAAAAAACAAACAAAAAACAAAAAAAGAATTGACATTTCGATAACAAACTGTAACAAAAGTCCCACAATAAATAAATGTGCTAATATGCCAAACTGTTAAAACTATCTTCAGTTAATTTTGTTATTAGTTATTGTATGATGATGTCATATATATATTTCAGTGCAATTTTATAACCTGAAACTGTGAATTCACACAGTACAAATCTATTTTTATGACAAATTTTGTTATTTCCTTTAAAGAAATCCAAATGTGACATGATTCAAAGCTGAAAAGTAAACTATTGGATAAATTAACCTTCTAATACTTTGACTTTCAGAAATAAATATACTCACAGATGCTAGATAATTCCCTTCCCATTTTCTCTTCACTCCCCAGTCACTTCTCTTTCCTTTCAACACATCACCAGCCGTTACTTTTAATCTTAAGACTGGGCGTTCCGACATAGGAACGTTACGTAAAATCATATTTGCTCTCCATCTGTAATAATGACCTGACTTTGGTAGAAATTTAGATAAAAAATACTTTTCCTACCCTACACGCAGCTTTAAATTGAATACTGGGGATAATAAAATATATTTTATCTCATATAATGTAATGACATGTAATACACACAGCATCAATTGTAACTATTCTTTGTTTTAGCACTGCCTTTCAATTGGCAATTGTTGTTTGTTAAACTCAACTTTATGTCTCTGGATAGCACAATAAATTATTTTTGATATCTTTCAAGATTTATGAATTTCTTGTAATTATTGGGATTCTTACCTTCTATGTACTTTAAGTAATAAGGCCACTAAGCCTTCTAATACATTTGGTGGTCTAGGCCAAGTGATATTCTTACCATAACCAGGCATAGTACGAACATTTCTAATATAAAGGAGTAAATATATAGTATTAATGATTACATATAAGAGAAATATGTAAAATATTATGGTATCATTAGGTTTTATTCACTAAAGAAATTTAACCAGAATAAAAATGTTTATACTAGGGATAGGTTGTATCTTAACAAACATTTTTACAATACAGGAGAACCAGAAAAGATTTCTATCCAAGGGAATAAATCTTTATAGAGCTAATTACGGCTAGGTACTGTGGGATCCAATCTCCCTCAAATTCTGATGCCAGAAAATTGGCTTCAACACAAACTAAAATCTACTAATTAATAAAAATATTTACTGTGTTTTCACAATGGTTTAGAATGGATTACAATCTAAATCTTACTCACTTGAATATTGAAACACATTTTAAAATGTAGGATCTCATCTTATATTTTCTATATCTGGCCATAATCTTGTAAATAGCTCTGACCTTTCTAGCCTTCATTCTTCCGAGTCCACCACGCCAATTCTGTAAATAAAGATTATTCTATATCAAACAAACAGTATCCGTCAAGAATTGTCCCTTCTAGAGTGTTTACAAGCAAAAATTTGAACGCGTTTTCAAGAACAAGGGCAATAACTCATACTAAATATTTTTCAATTTTTCTGTTTTTCATTACGGTTTATCCATGGGTGATAACCAACACTCATGCCAATTTTCGTCAAAATCCGCCAAGAATTGTGCCTGCTAGAGTGTTTACGAACTAAAAATTGAACGCGTTTTCAATAACAAGGGCAATAACTCATAGTAAATATTTTTTGATTCTTCTGATTTTCAATAGGGTTTATCCTTGGGTGATTACAAACACTCACACCAAGTTTTGTCAAAATCCATCCAGAATTGTGCCTTCTAGAGTGTTTACAAGCTAAAATTGAACACGTTTTCAAGAACAAGGGCAATAACTCATAGTAAATATTTTTCGATTCGTCTGATTTTCAATAGGGTTCATCCATGGGTGATTACAAACAACCATACCAAGTTTCGTCAAAATCAGTCAAGAATTGTGCCTTGTAGAATGTTTACGAGCAATTGTGGACGGACGGACGGACCGACGGCAGGACGGACATGGGCAGTATATGCCCCCCATTTCATGTGGGCGTATAAAAAGTGGTTTGGATATAAATATCCTTATCAAGACAGCAGTCTGGGAATTGGGTTAAAATTCTTATAGTTTTACAGATGAGTACGGCAAGTGTCATGACTAATTTGTATTCAGATTTAGTATTGAATATCAGATAATGATTTCATATTCATATTTGAAAAAAAAAAGGACTTGATGGACATGAAGTTAAAAGAAGACTTACTTTTTGTAAGTAGGCAACTATTGATGGTATCACAGAATCTCTGGCCTCCTCCAACGCAAATAAAGTTTGTGGCGAGCGGATGAATATTTTAGATCGACCATATTTGACATCATCTGAGAAACCTTTTTCTTTAATAATACATATTGTACCATCATAGTCAGTTCCATGAAATGTAGGCCACGTTTTCTTACAGATACACTTATATCTATATCAAATTAAAAAAAACATCTTAAAAACAATACAACAACATTATAAACCACAAGAGAAAAATGACACATACCTAGGTCATCAGTCATAATCAATAAGATGACTAATTCAACGAGTCCAGACAAGAAATAAGTCTTATCAGCCACACTGGATTGTTCAAATTGGACATGAATAATAAAGCTTGGTATCCATGAAAATAGGAAGTGCTTTCTGCACAATGACAATAATCTTCCTATATGAAGGACTGAGCTTTGGATGGGATGTATTCTCAATATCTCTCACATACACACAACGGACACATTAGTGGACATTATTAATGGTCTAGAATTCATCAGAAATATCTACAATCAAAGGGGCACCTGCTATTTGAAAAGCTATTAGTAAAACTAAAATATGATTACCTGCGTAGAAATCTATCGTAATGCATTCTGAATGCAAAACCAGCTCGTCTTACTCTAACATTTTCTATTAATCCTAAATATCGTACTTGATGGCCCACTCTTTCATCATCAAAAACAGATGGAGATTTCAATTCATTTGGTTTGATACATCTTACATAATGTGGTTCCTGTCAAAATAGACAAAAAATCATAATACTATTTAGGAAGATCCTGGGGGAAGAGTATGCAAATTTATACACAAAATGCTCAATTATTTTGCTATGTGGTTGAGATCAATTATATATATTTACCTTAGAAGCTAGATTTTCCACTAAGGCTATGATAGAGTTTTTAAAGTTAGTACCTGCTGTTACAGGACGTCTAGTCGTCTGAAAAATAAGAATAAGAGCTTATTGGAAATTGTTAGGACAGGATCTTTCTCTGTTTCAATTCTCAGGGGGATATTAACAATTATATGCCCTTATCTAAGAATATTATAGATGTTTGAAGCTAAAGTCAAACCCAACAATACCCTCCTATTAACACATGTTTTGGATATAAAATCTTCAAGCCAGTAAATGGGATTATCCAGAATCAAAAGTGAATGAGAAAGGCAAATGAACTCAAAATGGACAGAAACAAGTAGGCCTGCTACCTACTCAAACAATTAAATGATCCCGAAAAAACCTTTTCAACAAATTATTAATACAAGATATCATTCTGAAGATATTTACCTCTGTGACAGACTGTTTACCTTCTGGCCACATTGATTTTATTAATTCATCTTTACTGAAAAGTATAATGACTAAATAATAAAGCCTCACAATCTTTAAGTAAGAGCAAGAGATCTGCACCATGTAATCTCTGCATGTTTCTCTGATGGTTACAACATTGTAGCTTGACATTATTTGCTTGGTTTTGATTCTATTCTCTGAGTAATATGCATTATTCTGGTGAACACAACTTGGCTATCTGGGAAAGATCATTCTAAAAAGCTTGGTCTAGGACCAGCTGGAAGACAAAATCTTTGACTACTTGTTGATCAAGAAGACAACAATCTTTATCTAACCTGTTGTATAGAAGTCGTTTAAAATCTTGAAAGAGTGTATCTTTATTTTTATCTATAAAGCCAATCACACTGTATGATACATCACCAGCATAGTGACGAATACGGAAATCTCGATCATGTTGTAATGTTTTATCAGCAGCATTCAACTACAAAGTTAAATATAAAATATATAAGAAGTATGCACAGCAAGAGAAGACCAACCCATCTGACAATAGAATAAAACCTGTGAATCTTGCTGACCTTCAGCTCTTTCTCCATCTAACTTTACCAAGATAAGTCAAATCTTATGTGCTATTTGAATACAAAGATAGCTTGCAATGCAAGGTAACATACACCCACTGGCAGCTGTCAGAAATGATAAAACAGTCTTTAGTGACTAAAGTATGAATTTTCTCAAATTGAAGAAATTATTTATGCTGAATATTTCCACAAAATTTTTGAAAAATCAATATCAATAACCCAAATACAACAAACAATTAAATCACACAGCTCTAATCAAGGGCAAAAAACAACTTTTGATGCGTGTTTACAAAGTCAAGGGCAATAACTCAAAAAATGTTCATCAAAAATATCTCTTGTTAGAACTTGTCTGAGATCTTATCAATTCCAAAGATCACACCAATTTTCATCAAAATCGGTTGAAAACTGTAGCTTCTATTGTGCTCACAAACAAATTTTTACGCGTTTTTCGTAAGTTAATAGCATTAACTCGAAAACTGTTCATCAAAATTGCATCAAGTTAGAACTTGTCCGAGATCTTATCAATTCCAATGATCACAACAAGTTTCATCAGAATCGGTTGAAAACTGTAGCATCAATCCTGCTCACAAACTATTTTTAACACATTTCGACGCATTTTAACAAAGGCAAGGGCAATAACTCAAAAACCGTTCATCGAAAATGCGTCAAGTTAGAACTTGTCCGAGATCTTATCAATTCCAATGATCACACCAAGTTTCATCAGAATCGGTTGAAAACTGTAGCTTCAATCCTGCTCACGAACTATTTTTAACAAATTTCGACGCGTTTTAACAAAGTCAAGGGCAATAACTCAAAAACCGTTCATCGAAAATGCGTCAAGTTAGAACTTGTCCGAGATCTTATCAATTCCAATGATCACACCAAGTTTCATCAGAATCGGATGAAAACTGTAGCTTCAATCCTGCTCACAAACAAATTTTAACAAATTTCAGGGCGTTCTAAGTCAAGGGCAATATCTCAAAAACCATTCATCGAAAATATGTCAAATTCGCACTTGATCGAGATCTTATCAATCTAAAGCATCACACCAAGTTTGATCAAAATCAGATAAAAACTGTAGTCACTATAGCGCTCACAAGAAATGTTGACAGACGGACCAACGGACATATTCATGTGAGCGTATAAAAGGGCAACCTAGATTCAATTCTTACCGATCTACAGGTAAATCTATCATGTTTATTTAATTTGGTTGCCATGGCCTGTAAAAACATCTGAAAAAAATGTAATATTTTATTGGCCAAAAGGCTTTGCAACGATATTTCTGAGCTCATGATGTTAAAAAAAACACTCTAACATTATGAAAAGGATGGAAACAAAAGTTTTAGCCACTATTATTCCTCTTTGAAATAAAAAAATATTCACAAAAGTTATACATACCACATCTGTAACTTTACCAACATTTAAACAAGCTTCATCTAATATAGCTAATATTCCCTTATGTTGTAACTCAACCAGATCACAGATCACTTTATTATTAAAATAATCAACCTAAAAATAAACATCAACATCTAATATAGCTAATATTCCCTTATGTTGTAACTCAACCAGATCACAGATCACTTTATTATTAAAATAATCAACCTAAAAATAAACATCAACATCTAATATAGCTAATATTCCATCAACCAGATCACAGATTACTTTATTATTAAAATAATCAACCTAAAATAAACATCAACATCTAATATAGCTAATATTCCCTTATGTTGTAACTCAACCAGATCACAGATCACTTTATTATTAAAATAATCAACCTTAAAATAAACATCAACATCTAATATAGCTAATATTCCATCAACCATATCACAGATTACTTTATTATTAAAATAATCAACCTAAAATAAACATCAACATCTAATATAGCTAATATTCCATCAACCAGATCACAGATCACTTTATTATTAAAATAATCAACCTAAAATAAACATCAACATCTAATATAGCTAATATTCCATCAACCAGATCACAGATTACTTTATTATTAAAATAATCAACCTAAAATAAACATCAACATCTAATATAGCTAATATTCCATCAACCAGATCACAGATTACTTTATTATTAAAATAATCAACCTAAAAATAAACATCAACATCTAATATAGCTAATATTCCCTTATGTTGTAACTCAACCAGATCACAGATCACTTTATTATTAAAATAATCAACCTAAAATAAACATCAACATCTAATATAGCTAATATTCCATCAACCAGATCACAGATTACTTTATTATTAAAATAATCAACCTAAAAATAAACATCAACATCTAATATAGCTAATATTCCCTTATGTTGTAACTCAACCAGATCACAGATCACTTTATTATTAAAATAATCAACCTAAAATAAACATCAACATCTAATATAGCTAATATTCCCTTATGTTGTAACTCAACCAGATCACAGATCACTTTATTATTAAGATAATCAACCTTAAAATAAACATCAACATCTAATATAGCTAATATTCCATCAACCAGATCACAGATTACTTTATTATTAAAATAATCAACCTAAAATAAACATCAACATCTAATATAGCTAATATTCCATCAACCAGATCACAGATTACTTTATTATTAAAATAATCAACCTAAAATAAACATCAACATCTAATATAGCTAATATTCCATCAACCAGATCACAGATTACTTTATTATTAAAATAATCAACCTAAAAATAAACATCAACATCTAATATAGCTAATATTCCATCAACCAGATCACAGATTACTTTATTATTAAAATAATCAACCTTAAAATAAACATCAACATCTAATATAGCTAATATTCCCGTATGTTGTAACTCAACCAGATCACTTTATTATTAAAATAATCAACCTTGAAATAAATCATCAAATCATTTTCCAGTAGAAAGTTTCTACTACAGAGGGCCTTGACAAACCACACTACAGTAACATTGTTTACAATATGTTTGACAGTTCAAATATTCAATCTGTTAGTATCATTCTCCTTGGACCTGCTCCAGTCATTTGATTGGTCAATCATTCAAATCAATTTTAAATATAGCTTTATATGTTATTAGCACATTGCATTACCTTATTTCTTAAAATGTTGAATGAATCCTAGTTAAATATTGTGAAACAGGTCCTTAACACACAATTATCTTCAACCATTCTTTATCTATTTCATATGATATATTGCTTGAAAATATAATAAGAGAAGAAAACTTACATGCTGCCATTCTATTCCTTCCTTCATATATTCTTCCTGTTCCTGCTTTAATACCAATTCTATAAATAGCTGCTGTAGCTTCTCATTACAATAATTGATACAAAACTGCTCAAAACTGAAAGGAAGAGAATAATAATATTCTTTTTTCTAAAATCATTCTTTTTATCTATTGTGTTAAAACAATAAGAATGGGGGCTTACATCAATATGAACACCAGTAATATTAGTATTATAAGTAAAAAGGCCGACAAATCAATCAAGTAGGCATTAACTGAGTTTTACAGTACAGCTCTCCTAAACCATTCAATTATGACAAATGCATGTATCTTCAAATTTAAAAATTTATACAATGATCTTGCAACACTTGAAAATCATTTAATGCAAAGAGAAACTAAGTGATGAAGACTTACCTATTATTATCAAAAATTTCAAACCCATAAATATCTAAAACCCCTATCACAGTATTTTTACCCACATATTTCAATCCACTTATCTTCGGATCTATTAACTCATTTATTCTACCCACAATCCATGAAAACATTCTATCATATGTAGCCTGCAAAAAAGAGTATACAAGTCAAATACTTTACATTAAGTAGGGTTGGGATAGAGCTTATGAATAGAGACACATACAATCTGATACAGATTCTTTCAATGCATACACAACATCAAACTTGAGAGTATGTCAGTGATTTCTGTATATCTGAGCAATTTCCCGACTATTGTAAGCAAATTTTAAACAGTTCAGTGATAACATTATAGAATTCCATGGTAAATCTTTTTTATTGCAGAACCATAAGATATGATTCCAATCTGAAGCTGTAATTGAGCTGTATAATTCTGACTTCCATGGATAACAATAGTGTCTTTTGGTCTGTTCAAATTCTTACTTTGGCAAAAGCATCTCTGGCGTAATGTGCTTCTGTTTGTTTTAACCCTTTCTCCACCACCTGACCACCAGCAGCGATTGTTCGGAAACATAAGGCTTTCTGTAAGGCGTCAACATCCACCGAGAACAATCTGGCTATATCATTCAGGTTATTCTGGTTAGATATCAATACTTGTTCATGTTGGTCAGGATCAGCTTCAAACTTTATATCACCCTGGAATAAAGCATATAAAATAGTTCATTTCATGCAGGATTAAAATTGTTGCTTCATTTTCTGGCCATTAATGTTCTGACATTGATTCTATTTGTACAATTCTTTAGTTCAGAGCAACATTTCGCATTCAGATGATTGTTAAGAAATTTTCAGGAAATTTTTTCAAATGGAAAATAAAGACTACAGATGTTTCGAAAGGAACCGAAATATTTTGATATTTCTATTTGGGATTTCAAAACATACTAAGTGAATGACAGCTGCCACTATTTTCCATAAAGAGCTGATATGTTCTGCTGAAAATCCAGCACCCTTCATAGCATCATTAACTGCTTTAAATTCACGTTTATCATTTATCGTAGGCACCTGAAATATAACATCCATAAAATGTCATGACAAAATTAGTGTGAAATTTCTACTACATCTTGCATGTCCTAAAGCAATGTATCAATTCACGGATATATATATCATGCCAGCAATACAAATTATGGACAGTTTACAGACTATGCTATCTAGGAAAATAGGTGGACAACGGTTGGTCACAGATACAAATAGATCAATTATCATGTTCATAACTACTTATACTACTTCAAAATGATATGGAATGCATAACCAAGCCATAAACCATACCCAGTTAGTCATATTCTTCCTATTTGCATCTACAATCATATCTGAGCAAAAAATATCAAGACGCCATTAAAGGGAGATTTTACCTGTGAGCTACCACCTTGTGATATGAAATAATATTTACTACAATCTCGAGATAATTTTAAGTCTGACAACTGCTTCTCAGATCCTCCACTCAATAACTATAAAATATAACAATATACTACATAACAAACTAATATCATAGAGACATTCAGAAGACTTAAAGATCTGCATAAAAAAAATAAATCCAAGGAATATTAGGAAACTTATAGCTTTTATTTCACTATTGCATTCCTATTGTTCCTGTAATTCCAGAAAAATCTGATAATGACATCTGGCAAGTCTAGTAGAAGTTGTGCTGGATTTGTCATAATCAGATCAAGTTTTTCTTGAATTACCACTGACAAATGGAATGATGGAAGTCTAAGCTATAAGTCTTCCTTGAACACATAAAAATTCCAGAAAATCACTTTTGAATCCCATTAAAATTAATTCTTGAAAAAGATCTTCACACTCTATTACTCTGTATTGAATATTTGAAGGAGAATGGTAAAGTAAACAATGATATTCTTAATGGGTCATATGAAGTCTGGTGTGGTGATAAAGAAATTAAAAAATAAATCCAGTACCTGATAAAAGGAATGGAATGTTCTTTCTCCTTCTTGTTGGTAAACAACTCGACTCTATAACATATCAAATTCAAAATCAATTTTATCATCAAGTTTTGATCCACCAAGTTTTTGTGAGTGACATCCTGGACATGGCTTCCATTACCCAAAATGGTATCAATAATCCTTACAAATTAGGACAAAGCATAGCTTGATTTAATATTTCATCAAAACATATTTATAAAAAATCAACAAGGCATAAAACAAATGAACAACCTTTACCTTTTCTAATAAATAGTTATTGATGTGGCCACCAATCGGATCTCCTTTAAAATCAAAATTAATATCCATATACTTTCCAAACCTACTGGAGTTATCATTCCTGTTAGTTTTAGCATTACCAAATGTTTCCAATATAACGTTGGATTTGATCAGAATGTCTTTCACTCTGCAATAGAAAATTATATAATCAAGTAACTCAAACACAAATATATGAAAAGTGTATTGGTTTCTTTCATAATATTAGTGACCAAATCCACTTTTCCTTTTTTTTTTATTTATAACAATCATAATAAACCACTTTCATCCACTTGTTGCCTGTTCTGTCATCTTTAACAGTGAGTTAGTTAATGATTATAACTGTTTTTTTTCAAAGATGATGCTGTAAAAGAGTTGCCGAGTTGAGATTATATCTTTAGTCAGTCTAATATTTGCATCAGGGGTGCATACCTGGCATTGCTGGTGATACATCCTACAATAGTTATATTTAGCACTGAGAAGATATGAAAAGTTTATAGAAGATGTTTGACAAACCTTTCCACCTCTTTCTGTCCACTAATATTAGTAACAGCAGCTATATATCTCATAATAATCTTAGATGCTTCTGTTTTACCAGCCCCGCTCTCACCTGCAATGGACATGAGATTTATAATTAGTTTAATTAAAAGGCAGTTGTTACCAAATAACCTGCACTGATTATCATAAGTTAAATAGATTATGTGATTTAGTTTTTCTGAACATCCAAAGACCATTAACATGTATTCAAGGCCAAAATTAACACCCCAAAATGTATTTAAGATCCAAAGTCATATGGTAGCTCAAAATCCTCATTCTAATCTCATTTCGAAATGGGGTCTCAAAATCCTCACCCTCATTTCAAAATGAGGTCTCAAAATCTTCATTCTAATTCGAAATGGGGTCTCAAATTCCTATCATTTTGAAATGAGGTCTCAAAAAATGCTCTTTCTAATTCGAAATGGTGTCTCAAAATCCTCATTCTTATTTGAAATGGGGTCTCAAAATCCTCATTCTTATTTGAAATGGGGTCTCAAAATCCTCATTCTTATTGGAAATGAGGTCTCAAAATCCCCATTCTTATTTGAAATGAGGTCTCAAAATCCTCTTTCTTATTTGAAATGGGTCTCAAAATCCTCATTCTTATTTGAAATGGGGTCTCAAAATCCCCATTCTTATTTGAAATGAGGTCTCAAAATCCTTATTCTTATTTGAAATGGGGTCTCAAAATCCTCATTCTTATTTGAAATGGGGTCTCAAAATCCTCATTCTTATTTGAAATGAGGTCACAAAATCCTCATTCTTATTTGAAATGGGGTCTCAAAATCCTCATTCTAATTTGAAATGGGGTCTCAAAATCCTCATTCTTATTTGAAATGAGGTCTCAAAATCTTCATTCTTATTTGAAATGAGGTCTAAAAATCCTCATTCTTATTCGAAATGGGGTCTCAAAATCCCCATTCCTATTTGAAATGGGGTCTCAAAATCCTCATTCTTATTTGAAATGAGGTCTCAAAATCCTCATTCTTAGTTGAAATGGGGTCTCAAAATCCCCATTCTTATTTGAAGTGGGGTCTCAAAATCCTCATTCTTATTTGAAATGGGGTCTCAAAATCCCCATTCTTATTTGAAATGGGGTCTAAAAATCCTCATTCTAATTTGAAATGGGGTCTCAAAATCCTCATCCTCATCTTCAAATTGTACAGATAAGTTTGATTGCTTGAAAAGAGCATTCATTAAATGTTATCATACAGGAAGATATTACACTGAGTCAACTTATAATACATTTTACTAGTGAAACATATTATATTAGACAGATGTCAAATACATTTGAACAAAAAAATAAACCTTTTTATCCTAAACATAATATAGAACTCATGTCAAATTCACTTCACATTTGATTTGGTGTGTGGAGGTTAATGGAGAAGGCACACTTGATGGTTCATAGTTTACTGGTTGTTTGTATCTATCATTGTAAGTGGTAGGTAGGTCATTGCCTTCTTTCCCTGAATTTATATTGGTAGACTAATGTAGAAGGGAGAATGACAAGTAGCACAAAGCTTGGAAAATCTAAAAATTCTCATTTACTGTTTATTAACAGGGACTGAAATAGCCTAGGAATATATATATATCAATTTGAAAGTGACTAGTATAGTATCAATTCAAAATAACATCAAGCTTTAACATGAAGATTTCAAAATAAGATATTCATAGTATACCCTTTATTTTTTTTGAAGAAGAAATTTATTCAAATAGAAACACCTTCATATCTTTCGGATATCTTAATATGATCATAAAAAAAGAGGAGTTATTCATTTCATTACTCAGATACAAGGGTTTCTCATTGTCAGAAAAAAATCAAAATTCTATTATTATTTTGTGATCAGAATATTTGCCAACTAAACCAAATTTGTCAAAGTTCTTGGAAAAAAGAAAAGTCTCCAAAGTCAATTCAATGTAAAAAATTGCATTGCACAAATCATATCATTACTGTATATATTTAAATGATATAAGATATATTGTAATAAGTCAGTGAAAATGGAAAAAGATAAGTATGTATTTATTCATTGTGAAATACATGTTATCAAGGTGTATGTAAAATAAGAAAACATAATCAATATTTCACTTTCAGTTTACTTTCAACTGAGGACAGGTTTATAAATACAATTGTTTCTATGTATTTTCTTATTTCAACAACACTGTTTCTTTCCCTATCACTTCTTAGAGATAAAGTTGTTTAAATTTTTCTTTAATCAGCTTATAAGGCTCAATTTCTGTATCATTTCTGTGCAACATTAAAGACATGTTCCATGCTAGAACAAAATGCATTGGGAATTTTAGACTTTTGTCACTTCAAGGCAATTATCAACATATTAAGTGACAGGTATGTCATTGGTCAGAGCTGTATATGAGAAAGGCCTCAAAGGGACTTCAATCTGAACATCAAAAAAAATTTTCGCTGAATTGCAAGAGAATCCAGGCCTAAAAATTCGTCCAAATCCAGAAGAATCCAGATGGACTCTCGCAAATGCAATCTGCGAGTTTCCTCCGAATGCTTTACACAAAATATAGATAAAATGCCATGTTCTGTTAGCAAATCCCTGCAAATGACTGTACATGACCATCAAAGGTGAAATCAAAGGTGTCCCTTAATTCTTGCTGCCACACATTTAGCACCGTTTGTTTCGAAACGTATTTTTTTTAACGCTGCTTGATGGTTGCCGCGAAGCCATGATGGAACTTCGTGCGCGGTGTTCGAATGGATTTTATGGCGTGTGGTCATCAAAAATAATTACGCTATTTATCAGTGTTTTTTTTATCTATTTTACAGTATATGAATATAAATCTATGCCATTATATATTAATAATATAATAGATTATGAAAACTATGAAGAAATATATCATCGGCTCGCTGTAGGATCAATTACTATTACCCTTGGAACCTCGTTTATAAGTTAACAATAACATTGAAACTGTTACTACCACAGATCAGTGGCTTGGTCATCCAGACTATAAATAGTATTGACTCTTAATGAAGGCCGGACCATTAGAGCTTGACGATCCGGACAAAACCTCTGTCCTTCGCCAAGTGAAAATGGTTAGCGGATAATGAAAAAAAGTAACTTCGTTTTTGTGCGAATCAAAATGGACTTTATGAGAGTCTTGACGCGACTCGCATGAATTTTTAAGCCTGCAATCAGAAACCAGATTTTAATAATAAAATGACTCTGATATTGAGCTCTATCAACTGGTAAAGTAAATATTTGTAACAAGTTTACAGTATTAACATAATACCTTAGGCTAGTCAACTCTGGCTACATTCTACTGGCTACGTTCTGGCGTCCTTATAAACCTAGATAAACAAGATATATATGCCAAGCTATGAAATATTTTGTTTTAGCCTAAGATTTATTGTATAAATACTTCAACACAGACTGAAGATAATTGAAATATTTGTAGAGTTAGTCATAACATACAAACTTACAACTTTCACTGAAAATACAATTTTACCATCAATTAAGGCAATATATTATATTATTATCAGCACAAAATTACAAGTTACTTAATATTAGTATACAGATTCTATGTAAAGTTTTCATTTTCTAATTATTTACATTATGAAAAGAAATATATATATCTTTTTAAATTAATATGATTCTCTAATTTTTCACACTGGCTATAGGTAATATATAGGTAGATTCTGAACAAGTTTTTTGAAGACATCTCCAAAATACTTGACAAACAGCATAATAACAAGAGTTTAATGGTGCGCAAAGGTTAACTATGTATCAGGTAACATTAATACCTCCAGGTAGACTAGGTCATAAGTCATAAACACATTCTTTACTTCTGGAAAATCAAGACTTTATATCATCATTTCAGATCTAATACGAGCCAATGAGCTCGCTGCATTATAAAAATTAACCCCTTAAAACCTTGTTGGTCATATTTCATGAACAGAATAATAACTTTAACACCAAGACAAATTTCTTTCACAATAACTTATATAGCCAATGATAGGATGATTAAACATGAGATTCAATTTTAATATTTTAAACACTACTGGTACTTAATCTTACTTTTTTACCAATCATACTTTAGTCTCAGAAATGATCCTTTCTGAGCTAAGCCAATTAGTAATAGTGTTTACTACTCACTGTTGAAATTCGAGCCTTCAAATCCATGTGTGTCAAGGATTCTCCGCGTTTGAATGTTAAAATGACGACCCTTTAAGGCTATTTTTAAGATCATATATTCTACATGAGAAATGAGGTTTAGCTTGGTAATGAGCCTAATAAAAGTGTGAAAAGGTTAACACTATTTTCAAAGATTTATAGATTATCAAAAACACCCTATTCTTGAGGAAATGATAATACATCAATAAATAGATGACAAATCACAACTAGTCATTCAATGAATTAAGTTTGAGCGGAAACATAAGTCAAACAAGGAAACTTGAATCATACTGGTTACAATATACAATATTAACCAGAAATGGCAATTTAATACAATGACTTTGGAATATGTTTAACCATTCAACATTGGCAGCTGCTTAACAACTAACAAATAGACCATACATAGCTTTCTTTACATAACATTAAATGCTTTAAGATTTATGACATACCATTTGACACTCAGCATTTCTTTCCTAAGGTCAATGCTTGATAAAGAAGACCAGAATCTTAAGAATCCAATTAAGCTTACCATTCAGTAAAAAAACAATCGTGTAGCTCTTTATAGTTTTCTACTGAAAGATTCTAGTCATATCAATAATCAAAATTGCAATAAGAAATGTATTTTTGAAAGCTGACATCTGAACACAGGGTTGTTATACTCTTGGAATAAAAATGCATCTTTTTAGATAATTTGGACATATATTTACTATCTAGTTACAGAACTTAACTACCAGTGTCTTATCTGTTTTTCAAAGGAATATTTCTCTTGTCTTTCAGTATATATATCTACTTGTTGTTTTCCTCTATTGTTAATTCTTGACCTGAATCTTTCCAACTCTTGTTAATGTTATTTATCAGTGTCACAGATACAGCAACTATATATTCCTAGGCATTTGACAGAGGAGGTCTTATTTATTTCTACAACATGTAGGTAAGAAAAATGGCATCAAGATGAAAATTACTTTGTTGGGTAAACTCTCCACCTTGATTTTGAAACAGAATGATAAAGGGAAAGTGAACGTTTTCTCACAAATCTTTAACCTTATTCTTACAGCGGATAGAATGCACCATACTAATTTTTTCTTTATTTGTACATCTTTTTTAGCTAACTTTTCTTTACAGTGTTATCTGCTGGTAAAATGTCAAATTTTTAAGAATTTTAAATCCTTTCTATATTACCTTTAAATGTCTAACTCTATCTGTCTTAAATTAACTAATTAATATTATACACACCATCAAAGTGAACTGTGTCCTTTCAAGTTAATCACATCTTGTATGGCTAAGCACATATTTCAAATTTTAAAATAAAACATATTATGGAATATTTAGATTATACCTAGAGAGTATTGTAGTATAAATGTAAAGAATGGATCTTGATTGGCATTTCAGGAATTAGTGTATTAAATTGGACATGACAGTCAAAAGGAAAAATCTCCCAGTGCATTTCACCTTCAAAGCAATTGGATTTATCATCAGAAAATCTTTAGAAGCATTCATAGAGTCAAGATCCTCAGAAGACATCAGAAATGGCATTTAGATGGAAAATTATTTGGAAATCTGTTGTGTAACACAAATGAAGAAAATAAAGACGGGGCTTTGAAGTGTAAAATATATACATGATATATTTCAATGAACATATGTTATGTTGTTATAACCAGATAAATAAACCCTATTGTAAATTATAAACATACATTTTATCTTCCTTGTTAACAAATTCTTTATCATGGGTTTTTTTACCTATCATTATGTAGTCTTAGATACAACAGATCATATAGAGCATAACCACCCAAAATATTATCATACAGGTTTGGGCATACTGCACATCCATAGAAGGAATGAATGTGGATCTTGTTATCATTGAGTGGAAATGAAAGCTACTGATCACGTGACAAGTAACAAAACCTGGTGAAGCCTTGATTGCAAGGTTTGTCACGATAAAGTGCTCATAGCGATTATTTTTTGTAATGATTAAAATCATTCTGAACATTTACATTTCTGATATAAGCTCCATTTCATTTTTTAAACTGAAAACCATTATGCTGCAATAATGCTTACAAAAATAACAAAATAATCTGGTCAATTTTTCAGAACCTTTTTTCATCATACTAAATAACTTATTATTCAAGAAGATAGAATCTACAATATGGCTACAAATAAAATGGTACACGACCACTGTGTCAAGTATTGGTAACATTTGTTTGTTGCACATAACATCAGTGATTTGAACAAGACCTAAGGCGGATTAGGATCTGATAAAACTAAACAAGTAGTGTAAACTGTCGGCTGGAAAAATGAAAATTTGACCAAATTAAGTTCATCAATAAATCCATATAGCACCAATTGTAGTATAGTTTTTTTCTTTATTTAATGGTTTCAAACAAGGTATAAGAAACCTCTCTAAATAGAGATCTGAAACTCAAGTAATGTTGTCTTGGTGATATCTTGGTCTAGTCCAACTCTCATGTTGGTTATATCAATGTGTTTAGGGATTATATTTTTGCTTTTATGACAAATAAGGGCTTTCATAAGGAGATTCTCAGGGTATTATTTAACTTTTGAACATTATCTACTGAATTATGATTTCTCTTTGTGATCAAGATATTTGGCTGAAGATGACTGAAATTGCAGATATTTCACATGATCAGAATTTTTTCATTTTCATGGTAAAACAATGACTTGTAACATCAGCTAACTTTAAATATTGTTTATAATTGGCTGCCATAAATTACAACACATTGTCTTTAACTTTAAAACGGTATATTGAAGAATTTCTAAAGATTATAGATGGAGACCAGCTTGACCAGCTTGAAAAACATAGTTTGTACAAACAATTTGGGAATATGATTGAAATAGTGCCCAAATAGAAATCTTATCTGCTTTCTAATTGGACAAAAATTGAATGTACCAGAAACATACTGGATATCTATTAAACAAACAATACTAACCTGATATCACTATACAGGTGTCCTTGGAATTCCTTTTCATGTTTTTATAGGCACTGTCTGCCAGGGCAAATATATGGGGTGGGCGTTCATAAATCTCGCGCCCCCTGTACTGTTCCACATAGCTGGTATTATATATATCTATTGGTCTATAGGGATTAACTGATACTACAACTTCACCAATGTATGTATATATCTTTCCTTTCTGAAATCTGCAAAATACAATGGAATAATTCTTTTTGAGTACACTTACTCTTCGATTTAAGAATTTTTGAATTTCAAACCAAGTAAATATGCTTTCAAAAAACCTCTTTTATAAGATAGCTTGCCAGGCAAGGTAATATACGCCCAATGGCAGCTTTGATTTTGAATAAAAATATTTAGCAGTACAGTAACAATCACCAGTATGAAATATTCATACACTTCTTTTGAACTCTTTAGGGTGATACTGAATAATATTGAGTATGAGTTATTGCCCTTGTTCTTGAAAACGTGTTCAATTTTTAGCTCGTGAAAACTCTAGAAGACAAATATTCAATCTTCTGCGCGGAACTGAATAATAAAACCAAGTTTTGTCAAAATCTGGCAAGAATCATACCTTCTAGAGTTTTTACGAACTACAAATTAAACGAGTTTTCAAGAACAAGGGAAATAACTCATACTAAATATTTTTCAATTTTTCTGTTTTTCACTACGGTTTATCCATGGGTGATAACCAACACTCATGCCAAGTTTTGTCAAAATCCATCAAGAATTGCGCCTTCTAGAGTGTTTACAAGCTAAAATTGAACGCGTTTTCAAGAACAAGGGCAATAACTCATACTAAATATGTTTAAATTTTTCTGATTTTCGATAGGGTTTATCCTTGGGTGACTACAATCACTCTCACCAAGTTTCATCAAAATCCGTCAAGAATTGTGCCTTGTAGAGTGTTTACGAGCAATTGTGGACGGACGGACGGATATGGGTGACGGCAATATATGCCCCCCATTTCATGTGGGCGTATAAAAATTGTCTCAGATTGGCCAGCCAAAACCTGTTAAAATTAGCTATCAGAGTCTTGTGCAGACACGAAGAGATGTCTGAACAGATGGAAATAATTTGTTGTTGAGGAAAACTACTGCAGACAGTAAAAGGTTAAAATGTTGTAAGAGAGGACAGAAAGCTATCTGTCTACTCATGACCTGTAAAACAAGGTAAATAAAAACAATGGTGTCAAGTCAGTAAAGTCAACAATCTTGACAATTGTAACCATTCCACTAGTAATATAAGTACATGTACTAATGTCATGCTTTGGATAAACCAACCTGTAGTCAGCAGATCGTTTTATACTTGAGCTAATTTTCCAGAGGTTTGAGCAACTAGTAGGACTTTTTGGGGCGACTGGATTATAGATCACCCTAGTCTGCATTGCTTTCAGACCATCATGGTATCTTTAACCTCCTTCCCAAAGCTAGCACTTTCAATTTGCACCCTTAAAACCTGTAGGTACTGTTTGCCTCTATGCCAAGATCAATCTTCAAGTTTGTGTGTAAGAGACTCAACTCACTGAGCCATTACATATCCTGTATAAGAAAAACGGTTTTAAAACGATATGTTTACACTTTCATAATAATAATCATGTAACATTGAGATTATTAATGAAATATGTTTATAATTGTTAACCTGGCAGTAAATAATACATATACATTGATTTTGCTCCAATCTATTGGAAAACTTTGGTTGGTGCACAAGCAATGCAAGAATGTGTATCATATATAAATTTTGTAGATGATTGTGATAAATTTCATTTTGGCTAATCGAAGGAAATGTTGAATAGCAAAAGGGGTCATTTTGCAAATAACAAACAAAAGCATGACAAATTAAGTCCTGTAATTAATTTCCCCACTAACATCATACATAAAGTAAAAAATGTCAATAAAGTCAAGGTTTGAGGTAACAGTCTCATACACAATAATAATTCCAGTAAATCTGACAAGTTAAACACAACAATGAGTTGAAACACAATGAACTGATATACCATAGTTAATCCAGGTAACATATTCCAGTAAATAGTTATTTTATTTCCATATCAGATAATCAATAATTCTCTCAAAGTATATTAACTCTAACTCTTATAGTATCATAAAACTTACTTTAAAGGTATTTTAAAGGTTTTCTAAACTGTTTATTTGTATTGGGGACATTTTCCACAATTTCAATTATCAGTCAGACGTCTGTAGTTCTTGCAATTCCTTGAAAACTAAGTGTTTTATGACGCCACTATCACAAAACACATACAGATGTCACTGTGATACAGTCTATATTTGGTAAAGATTCTTAGACTGTTGGGAATTGACTGTGAAAGAGCTGCAAAGAATTGGCAAATTTACAATACCCAAATTGCTAAAGGACATCACTATATAATACCTCAAGATTTTAAGCCCCGACATTGACTATTAGAGTGGTCAAGATGATTGAAAATTATTAAAATGGTCAAGACAAGAAGGACATGACCAATAGTATTTAACTAGGATTAGATAGACAGTGTGAACACCAAGTTACAAGAGATTAGCTTTTTATTGTCTATGTTGACTTTAAAGACTACCATCTTATATTTATATCTGTATTGTAGTTGTTTTAAACTGGGTCTAATCCAGGTCCTGTGTTTTTGGTAGTTTTTGGGTAATATTTTAAATGTCAGGTCTGAAGAAATTAAAATATATCTGGTTTTAATTTGATTTGGCAAAGACAATTTTAATCCTAAATTGGCCCTCATCTCAACACACAATGTAAACAACAAGATTTATCTTAAATCTACATGTATTATCTTGAAGTTTCTTTCAACCAATTTGAACTGGTTTTTTAGAACTCTTGCACACATCCTCACTAAACATTCACTGCTTGGCTTCATCAACTCAGCACACCTATTTTTGGTGCATCAAATGTAGTTTTCTACTAATTTTTCACTCAGCAGACATGATTTATTTACCATTTCTATATCTGTATATCAAGACTTATCTTTTATGAAAAAATGCAACAAGGAAATTAGATTTATCTCTTTGAATTCTCTGCATTTTAGTGCTTTGTTTAAATTTCAGCATAAAAGGCTTGAAATGAAATGAAACAGAGTTCGCTGACAGGTAACCACAATACACAAATAGTGTGCAATGAGTGAATTTTTCCATGACAGAATTATTGAATACTGTATCCTTTTACTTTCTGATTGTTGAAAACTAGGAAATTATGTTTAACAGAAGGAGGAAGATGAAGCAATACTGTCAGATTTGAAGATATTTCCTATCTTTTCTTTCAAACAAACCAACAATTGGAAAAGGAAGATTTGTTTTTTAAATAATTAAAATATTCAAAAGTCAATAGACACAGAAGTGGTCTTTCCACAACAGAAAACTGTTGACAAAGGGTGTCTGGAGAACAGAGACATTATTATTTCAATATGAGTTTTATTTCAATAACAATTCAATATTTACAGAATGTCATCAAATCTTCCCTGTTGGTTTTTCCTTGTGGTTACATATGGCTCTTATACATAAAAATATATACTGATATGAGTTACCACCACTTTCAATATATAATACTTCCTTACACTATAAGTGCCTTTTACTTTTACACTAATTTACCAAAAAGTTCCTTTGTTATTTGATTTTGAGCACCTCGTCTCTTTTTGGCAATGATCTTTATTGGATTATCTGTAATTTACTCTTTATAAATTTAGTCAAGCAGAAGGATGAGGAATGATGACCTTTAATACAAGGTTACCAGTCTTTCACAAATTTTATCACATTGTTTCTCTAAACAAAATTCAACTGGGAATAGCTGGGGTGTAAGAAGGTATATATTATATTGAACTGTTACTTATTGCGACATGATAGTCAAGAGCATATCTAGAAAATGCCTGAGGAGGGGGCCAAAAATATGAGTTATCTTTCTAGGGTAAATCCCTTACATCCAAAGCCCCTTAAAGCCATATTTCTCAAACTGACCATAAATCATACCTATCCACTATCACTTGACCTAAATATATAAATAACTAGGTCACATCTCAGAGTGACATAAATAACAAACAGTATTGCTGGGTTAAGTTTAGTTGTTTTCTTATCTATTGAAGGGACCTAACAACTAATGGCTATGGTCCAATTAATAACTGCTGTACAAATTAAAGAAATTATTTCCTGCTACTCATAGCACTCTAAAATATTGAAAAAGCCAAAAGAAAAATTTCAAACATCACAGAAAGTCTGTAATACACAAAATATATTTGAAGAATTTAAACTAATTTCTCATTATAACAGTAACTTGGCAATGTGGAGAAGCTAATATCTGTGTACTAATAACTTATAAGATGAGAGCTAACCATAACGAATATATTTAGACTTAAGAAATGACTGATTCACAGTGATCTAATGAAACACTCAACACTTGAGTTAAACAGGATATTGAGATGAGTTGGCAGGAAAATTATCTATCATGTCAGTTAAAACTTTCTCAGGGAAGGCCAATGGTTGGATATAACCAAAGATTTCATCTAATTCTTTAGAATAGACATCTTTTGAGTTCAGTAAATAAAACAACAAGAATAAGAATCCCTTTCTCTATTCTTCAACTCCTTTACTCATTATCTAAATTTTACTTAAATGTCTTGAGGACAGCAAAAGCAAAGTCAATGTGAAGAGGAGATACACAAAAACATTACTTAGGTTCAAGAACATTATTTCATTTGCCAGTAATGTTTGAAAGGAATTTAAAACTGTCATTCTTTATTTCAGTTAAGTCAATTTAAGAAAAAAGCAGTAAAAATTGTTCTTGTTTTGATATTTCAAATTACACACTTGAACTTTAAAATTGCCTTTGGCTTATTTCAAACACACTTAATAAACTTGTACAATTCAAAATTAAAAATTCTAACAATCTTATTGGTTAAAAAAACTAAATTCAAAATTGATTTTATTAATCAACCAATAAGATGCACAATTTTCTCAATAGTGCCCTCATATTATGACTGTCTAATTTCAACCATGGCTTTACGTTTCAAAATTTAATGATTGGTATGAACCCATAGTATTTATATTGGGAGATAAATGAAACGAAATATACAATTTTAATTATAGTTAATAGATGATCATATGTTAGGTGTGGCTAGTATATGATCATACCATATCTTGTTTTCAAATGACATCATAATAACTATTTACATGTTTCTTTAATTTTCTTATCTACATTCAACAAAAAGTAAAATATTATATCTTTATATATATATACAATATTTTACATAGAGTAAAAGTACAGTGAAAGGCGTTGGAGATATCAGGATTTCCAAATTGTTATTGCAACTGGTTAAATAAGGCCTAGCTGCATATTAACAAATATGTTTTTATTCATCTCTACATACTTTTATCCTTATTATATATATTAAAGGAAACCAAAAGCCAAAAAAATATTGGCATTGTCCTGATTATCGCAAGATATTTCGCTTTCATTGCTTCTGAAGCTCTTCCAAAGCTTCAAAAATACTATCTTTTGTTCTAAATCCATTCAAAAAATTCATGAAAGGAGCTTAGTAAGAAGCAAGTAAGTTAGCCCAGTGTAAGCTTTTAATCATTTCCACCTTGGTGTATCAAATGAAAAAAAACTATGACCAAAATATTTCGCTAGATAAAACTATCGTACTTATAAAAAATGATTCATTTTTACTAGCTCACTAGGCCTACTAACTGTTCAATATAGTTATCAGAGGTCAAGACTAAGAGACAAGTTATCAATAGCCACATTGTTAACTCTCTAAAACTGTTACATGAGATTATTTTTTAACCTAATCTACTGTATTTAGAGAGAGAGAGTTAAAATTCCCAGGAGATAGGTAAATACAACAGATTGGTCGTATCTCAATAGATACATTATATCAGAAAAACATACCACTTCTATTTCTCATAGGAATTGTGATTTTATAGCTATCAACAAACTGAGAGAGATAAACTCAGCAATATGTGATGTAATAAGTACTTGATAGAACCAATTAGATTAATGGCTAGTGTTAATTTGATGATTTGATTTCCCAGTTTCCCCAAAGACCTCAATTTATCTCCATAACCTAATAGTACTTATACAAAATAGTCAAACTGTGACATTGGAAAAAACTGGGGAATTTTTGGCTTAGAAGGAGAGCTTAACATAAAATTTTTTGTCTTATGGTTTCTGAGAATTAAACAAAAATTTCCAAACCAAGAGGCAGAGGGATTTCTACATTAAATTCGCGTAATATTCCTTGCACATTGTAATCAGCAATGATATTATACTTGAAATATATATTTAAAATTACTTATTTTGATCTTTAAGGCTTATTAACTTGTCTGGTGTTCAAAGGAAGTTATCATGCCCCCACCTATCATTTTTTTACCTCTGCATAAAATTTCTTCACATTACATGTTTTGATAGTAAAATATTTGAACAATGTGTAACATAATGCCTTAATACAGAGTTTAACTTTATATAGGACTTATGGAGTATATCAGTTAAATTTACTGTTATACTATAGAAGGTCCTTGTATCGTATATAAACTTTATTACAATCTATAAATCAAGTTTTCAATTTTCTATGAAGTTTGACCTGATAACGAATACCTTGGTAATGGCTAAATCGATCAGGTAGACATCTGTGGACTGTAATTGATGGCTTGGATTAATTCTCGAGTTATTTTCAATGAAAAATGACAGTTGGTTATTTATAGATATAACCACTTGCAGTGAGATAGAAGCCGGCTTCGCTTCAATATTTCATCTCGTCAATATGGAAAGTTACAAAACGAAAACACCACAGATTTTCATTGGACTGAAATATAATTACCTTAACTTCAGATTTTCCATAAATCCATCCAATGTCACATCTCTGAGGAGGACAAAGTCCCCGATGCCAAACTCGGGACCTTCGTGTATACCCGCCATTACCAATGGATGAACTACCGCTAGATGGCAGACTGGCGTCACACTGTTACTTTATCACTTCAAACGCTTGAGTAACTGACTCTGTCACAATGTATTGCGTTAACACACTTATCTTAAACACTCTTTATTTGATCCAATTCATAGTCATTGCTGAGTTTAACATATTTCATCACTAGTATATCAAAATCAATTTACAAGTTAGCAGGCTATTGACCAAAATATAAACTACTAGTCTAGTGGCTTAGTAGTCTTCTGTATATGCCTTCTAATTTTAAGGCATAGATAATATCTTGTTTCATTAAAATCTTTATTATTATGTATCAAGAGGTACCTAATAAAACTAATAAAAGTTTTGTTTCAATACACTTATTAGTTGAGCCTTTAAGTAAGATCTGATGGTATTTCAATGTTTGAGTCCACTACGATACAACTATTGCTCCCCATTTTTTCTTGCTTTGGACTAGATTTTTAGTTACTGGAATTGTTTTGCTTGAACAGGTTTTTAGATAATTATGTCAAATATATTTTTAAGCATTTGATACAATAATTTTCCCTCTCCCTTTGCCAGTCCACTATAAAAATACAACATTTTAATTTTTGCTGATTTTGCAGTGCTTTAACCTGCTTTTTGGGTGTATCACAAACAGCAAATCATTACCATAGAAATGGAGAGAGGGGGGAGTACTCAGAGCCCTTCTCAAATTGTTTATCTGCAAATAATCATATTCAAGGCATCAACTGCATCAGATAAAAGTAAGCTAAGTTTATCACTGAACACTCATGACTATATATGAACAGGATACCAAGGTGGCTACCATAGTCATAGAGTGCGACTCTGTTGTTCAGAAAAGTGGGCATGAAAAAATCACATTCATAATAATCATAGACAATTTAATACAAACAGTATAATACAATTTTCAATACATCACTTTATACAATAAAATATACATACATATTTATTTACATGTAAATGCAATTCTCTGATAATAACATTCTGAATTCATGGCTTTTATTTTCAGTCAACCTTATGAAGAATGTCATTGAAAGTCAAAATCAAAATAAAGCTGCAAGGTAATCTATTCTCCCATTAAACACAAATTTACAGAATTTTGTTGACATTGTGAAGTCATCTCATTTACTGGTTTATGTCACTAGAATGTCTGCAGTCAACTATAATATTATAAAAAAAAAATGTATTCATTCATTGAAAAAAGAAAATACAATAAATCAATCAATTCATGAAAACAATTCAAAGACATTTTAAGGATTGGTATGCTAAAAATATCATCCAAATAAACAAAATTCTTTTGTTTATCAGCGGACTTACATGGTGTCAAAAATATATGACAGAATACCTCTATAATCCAATAAATACATAAAACTAAGTAATAATCCATTAAACAAGTATATGCTTAGAAGCATGTTTCAATAATTATTAAGTTTAATGGATAAATCGTCTTAGAGATTCTATTGTTTAGTCATGGTACCTGGTAAGTCCAACTGATGAATATATTATACACTTGTTGATCAAGTCTGAGACTTTTAATTGAAATTTTGTATTTAAACACATAGCACATTTATATAAAGAGCACTTTTCATAATTTGGCATAGTTCAAATGTTATTTTTTCTTTCCACGAGTGGTTGGAGCACATGAACTCTGTATTAAGGCTGCTATTTGAGCATGTTTAGAAATTTGTTCGTCTTGTTCCTCTATAATTTGATCTTTTTCTTGAATAGTGGCCTCATGGTCCTGACACACCTTTTCTAGGGAGCTCACCTGAAATACAGAAGAATCATCTTAAAATGACATTTAGGAGAAGAGAACAAACTGAATTTATTGTTTTATGAGAGATTGTCATCTATCTACTCAATGGAAATAGTATAAACCTCAAATTAGGAGGCAGTACACTGAGTTCAGCTAAAAAGGCTTAAGTCGCCGTACAATGACCAATGTTCAATGCTATTTCCAGTCTTGGTTACAAATGTTAAGTAAACTAACACTATATTCAAATCAAAAGGAAATTTTAATGGATGGAAGGTTTTGGGATATCTAACTAATACATCAAATTTTGGTTATGCTCACCTTCAATTGTATTTCTTTTTTAGCATTAGATAATTTGCAGAGTTCACATTGCAACTTGTCAATGACTTTCTCCTGTTCTTCCTTTTCTTTAGATGTTGTGTCAAACCTCGTTTCTAATTTACTGTACAATTCAGTCATTTCTGTAAAATAAAATCATAACAAATTCCAGATATGTAGTTTTGGTGCTTATTTTGTACAACTTTTAGGCTAATGAAAAAAATTATCACCAAGCATTGTTTTAGAAGCAAACTTTTGCCAGGTCAGCTGCAGCATTAACCTTTTTTTTTAATTTTCAAACTTTCAAGGAATCTTTCAGACTACCATTGTCACATAAAAAATGTTAAGATAATCATTCATACTGAATTGAAATGTTTAGATTACCTTGGAGTTTAGCTTCTTTTTCTTTCAATATTTTTTCTTGTAGTTTCCATTCTTTTTCTAGAGTATATAACTGATCACAAGTTCTGAAAGTAGTGGCAGAAAACATTCAAGTTAATACTCAATTAAAGAAAGAAAGACTCTTTGGAGGAATCCACTACTTTAAAACTTTACTTCCCATTTTGCCATTCTTTGGACAAGATTTTTGATTGACAGAATTGTCTTGCTTGAACATGTTTTTATTAAGGAACAGAAACATCAATACACTGTTGGATGATGCATTCAATATCATTATATGAATTACATTTTAGATATAGAAATATTTCTAATTTAATTCAAAATCAAAAATCAAAAATTCATTTATAATAAAAAGTAAAAGAGAATCCTTACTTGTCATTTTGTTGTTTGAGATCAGCATGATATTTCTGCAACATGTCATACATCTCTTCTTTAGATTCCATTTCTTGTTTGAGTGTATTTAAATTTCTTCTCATCTTTTCTCCACTGTAATACATACCACAATATATAACACAAATATATATTTTATAATGATTAAACACAGAATACTAGAATTCCTTTCAGATGACTGTGATGAATCAGTACCGCCAGATACTCACTCCTTATTTCTTTATTTTAAAGAACTCAATTGAATTTAACAGCACTTAGAAATATATCTCTAACTTCTTGCCTTGGCCTGTTCTTTTTATGGGAATGTTATTCTGATATCGCCCTAACAGAAATAATACACTTGAAACATCATGACAATCAAAATACAAAATGGATCCTAGAGACTGCCATACACTGTACAGGTAATTCATGAGTTGTGGTATGTAGAAATAGGTCTTCATTTATTGCTTATGCTACTTATGTCTTACCTATCTACTAGTTCACTATAATTTGTTTTCAAATCTTCATACTCCTCTAGTACATGTGCTACTCTGAAAAGTCGCAATTAAATATATATATTAAAAATCTAAGCAAAAATATTTTTCTACCAGTCTCTTTATGGTTTCACAACTACATGTATCTAGACACTAGTGTATCCTTTAAAATAAAGGGGATTAAGTCTTGCTAAGTCATCTATTTATAGCCATGAATAACCTTTTGAGTTCTGTACTGTGACTGTCTGTAACAACACTGATTCTCATTGCTGTCGCTAAATATTTACATACCAGCCTATCTTCTATGTATTTGAAAACAATCATTTCGTATTTGACTATAGCATTGTAGGTGACAATAAAAGCTATAATAGTTTGGACAAGGGAGGCAATTATTTTCCATGACAGGAATAGTTTGATTTTTTATTTACTTGATTAGCAAACATATGATTTTAGGGTTAATTTTAAAGAAATTGAATAAAGTATTCCAGCATGAGTAAATACATGAAAGATGCCAAAATAAAATCTTACTTTTGATTTTCTAGATCAACTTGTTCTTCCAGTTGATTATTTTTTATTCTCATTTCATTGAGTTTGTCTAACAAAGATTCACTCTTTTTTTCAGACTCGTGTAACACACTGCGTAGATTCTGAGACTGAAATATAGTCACGTGATAGCAATGATATACACTAGTCTAAACCAATATTTCCCCCATCATTTATATTAAAGGTGAAACTCTAGTAACAGTATTCTGGCTAAGAGAAATATTGTAATTAAGCAACTAATATTAATTACAATAATCTGTACCCTAATTACTTATTTACTTATTCAAAATGGCATTTTAAAGCATTGCCACATCTATTCAATATATACCAGTAATGTAAAGTGTCTATATATCTAAAAACTTGATGAAAATGTTTTCGCAACTAAAATATTAAAAGTTTGGAGGTGAATTAGAATATAATAATTAAAGTAAACTTACATCAGCCTCAAATCTAGCTCCACTAATTCTGTACTGTGATATTAATCTATCTGATTGAACTAACTCTAAACTTTTAGTTTTTAACAGATTCTCCAGATGTTCTTCATTAACCTGTTATTATATGAAATGAAAAAGCTAATGATGACAGGCAAACTCTATGCAGTATGCAATGAGGATAATTTTACCAGGGCCTATATTAAACAGGGCATTAATTCAAAAAAACTTTTATGGATATAAACTTCTCAATTTATTATTTAAACACAACATTTCATTACATGTTCTCAAGTGATGATTAACCATAAAAAACTATAGCTCCTTAAACAGAAAAGTTTCATTCCCAGTATAAGTTGATGATATATAGGCTTCATCAAATATATTATACATATTGTTTAGAAATGAAATTCAATTGACCGTGGACCTCAAAACATAGAAAACATTGATTTTACCTTTAGTGATTGTAGTTGATGTTCATAAAGTTGAATAATATTTGACACTTTGTGGTCTTTCATCTGAAAAAATTAAAAACAAACATTTGAAGTATAGTCAAGCAAAATCATTTGTGCTTATCATGGTTTGATTCAAAACATCAATACCAACATCTCTTTATTTCTAGGTAGCTGTGGTATTATTAACACAAAGTAAGTTAATTACTATTCATTCTGCCGAAAATATACTGGATCATGTTTATCCAGTACAGACAGTTTATCCAGTATGCAATATACAGACAGTTATCAGATTTACATATATGTATTTATCACCTATTACTTGTCTACTTCATTCTTTGAGAAAAAAAAAACAATGATTTCAATATACAGCCATAAGATACAAGATTTTTAGATATCCATTAAGTTTTATCTTTTTACCTCGAAACTGGATTCCATTTTACTGACCAATTTCTGGATGGATGTTTCTTCCTGTGGAGTTGGTTTAACACCATTATTTATAGGATGTACGTTCTCTTTATCTACTGATCTGGTTTGTAATAAAACTGATGTTGTCTGGGATGAACCAGCAAGATGGTCCACAAAATATTCTCTTGGTGATGCCAACACAGTTTTATTATTATTTATAGAAGCTATTGAATCACATAAACTGAAAGTGAAAGTATAAATAAATGAATAGCAATGAAAGAGAAACTTGATGGTCATTCAGTAAAACAAGTCAAACAATTGTTGCATATTATCAAATGTCATAGCTTTCAGGTTTTTAATACTATTCAATTATTAGAAAATATAGAAACATTTTTTTCCTATTTCAGGCACTTTCAAGAAAATTAACAAAATTTTTTAGTTTATATCTTTAGAAGAACCAACTTACTACAATATCAGGGTTGGCTTTAGCCCAAATTATATACTTAGGGAGTTTTTAAATTTTTAAAAGAATTTCCTCTATATAGCCTAGACTTACACAACATCTAAATAAATATCTAGTTGAGCTGCCGTTGATATCAGCTGTAGCGCCATTTGTACATGATCTTTATTACCAGATGTTAAATATGACGCCAATATTGGTACAAGTTTACTGTCCTGAAATACAATAAGACAACTCTCATTAATAAAAATCAAATATTATGCTAATAGCATGATAGGTTTGTGTCATTAATATGAATAGGAGCTCAACTTTACAAAATAAACATCCAATACATAATGTGCTTCTAGCATTAACAGGAATTTTACTTTGTGTTTCTGCTACTATTTGATGAATGAAATAAGACCTTCCAGTAAAGATACTACAAGATTTCTGTGGAAATTCAGAGAAACAAAGATAGAGAACACAGACAAAATATATGGTTCCTACCTGTAAATATGTGATGAAGCACTGATCTAAGTTAGGAACAACTCGCCTGAATTTAGACATCAGATTTAAACACAATAATACTGTAAACTTCCCCACATCACTGTAATAATAATGATTATTCTGTCACACTGTCATATGCTTACTCCTTTAAAACATCAAGCATCATTAGTATACATTCAATCAAAGTTATTTTGACTCTTACAGGTTTGATTCAAAGCATAAACACAAGCAAGGCCACGTTATTTGGGTAAAACAACAAGTTGAAAAAAATCAGTGAACACCAAATATGCACTACATTGATAATTACTTAAACTACCTAAAGATAAAGTGCATTGGTCATGTTCGTGTTTTGAAGAACTCACAGTGATAGTGAATACAAATAACTATAAAATTTGATGATTGGCTCCCAATCACAGCCATGCTGAACAGGGTACTTAAACATAATAAATATTCCGTTCCCATTCAAAACCTTTAAGATATCTGGGTTTCCGGATTATTGGCAACCTGATGAACGCAGATCCACTATATTACTTAGGTTTATTCTCAAAACTACACAAATATCTTTCATGAACCACTATCTGCTTACATCATATATCGATATTTCTAGAGGTTGTTTGGTAAATTTTTAATGATATTTATCATGAAATAAACTAACCTCCAATCATGATATTGTGTTTTATCTGCCATTTGATTCATATAAATATCTTTATTATGGTTCAATTGAAAATCCAAGATGGTTGGAAATAGCTGAATATCAATTTGACTGGCTATAGATTTTTTTATTTCATCCTCAGTACTGAAAACTGAAATGTAACAAACAAAACAAATTAAAAAAAAACCAAAGTATGCTACAATAGTTCATCGGATTGGCAGAGGCTCACATTAACACTGAAACGAACACAACACATTTGCCAAAGAAAAACTATACATTTTTTCACTGACAAAGAGCAATCCTGTGCACTATATAATTATTTTAAGATATTTATGTAGTATTACATTTAAACTTAACAGATCTTGTGAATAGTAAAAGAAGAGTGACTAAAGTATTTTATTCTACGAGCTATTGTCGCTGTCGTGACAACATTATCAGGTCATATGATTAGATTTGGAAAAGTTCTTTGCTGCCAGTCTTTAAAGCATTTGTGGCCTTAAACCTGAATTATTTGTACAACTATATTACAAACCTGTGAGAAATTGTAACACTTTAACTGTTTTTTCTAGGTGTTTTTTTATTTCAGTTCCAGTAGGGTTAAACTTTGTATTATATTGTAGTAGGTTTAACAATAAAAATACAGTAATTTCAGTATGTTGACTGTGACCTGTTTTATCATCTGTATACAAAACCTCCTGGAAATATACAATAAATACCATACCATTCATAATATTATATGTTTTATAATCTAGATCAAAAAAAAAATATTACCAAAGTTTGATTCTTGTAGTATAATGGTGAGTTTTAAATGATTGTTACTGACATAAGTATTACAGTAATAATATCCCATTCTACATACTGACTAAACTAAAATCCAAGTCATGCACTTACCTCAAATATTTCCTTTAAGAAATCTAAAGCGAGTAGTGATGTGAAGTGACTACTAGTATTGTTAACTGACTGGGCTGCCCAGTGAATAGTAGCGTGTAAAGGGGATGTGGTCTGGTTGATAGGAAGTTGTAATAATTGATCTAGCTGGCCTGAGTCAGTCACTGGTGGTGATTTTAACATTATCTTACAGATAATACTTCTGATTGGACTCACTGTACATAGATCAATTATCAGTTCAAATATCTACAATATAAATACTCTTTTAAAAACAAAATTACTGGACTGATAAAAGAACAACAGGTTGTAACATACAGTTGGGTGATGTCCTGTGTTTCTGTAAGCAGATAGCAACAGGGTTCCCATCTTGATTTTAACCAATTTTAACCAATGTCTGGTGTTTCTTTAAAAAACACTGTACAACCCTCTAGATTGTTATCATACACAATTCAGTGATGTAGTGAGGCTTTCCACACAAAATTGACTCCATTCCAGTTCACTTCTAATAAAGAGTATTGAATTAGGTTTTGTGTTTCAAAACACAATAAATAATGATGTAATGAAAAGAAGTGTTCCATCCTATTTCACATCTTTATAACATATAAATATATCAAATTCAAATGTGTATTCACCTTAGAGACAGACTCTGGCACACTACTTTTGATACGACTTAATGTTTTCTCCAAGCAGGTTGGTAGATCTTGATAACTGAAGTAAAACAATATACATATAGGCTCAAACTCAATCATATTCAGCAAGAGATGTACTGTCAGAAAGACTGGGTGATAAGAATATAATGACTGGTGGTTTTTACCATCTTTCCTCAGAACACAAATCTTCAAAACTCATGCTGTATTCAACACCTCAGAAAAATTGGAAACAATATAGGAAACTTCAGAGTATTATGTTGGGAAGTTGTATTTCCAAGTAAGAAACTTGGGTATGTAGTGAGCAACCTAAATTATGCAGCTAACTTGAATTATATAATAGACACATGTGACATTATAACATATAGTATATATATCAAACTAAGAGGTAATGACTACTTGTATTGAATATATACTTGCTTGATTAAAGTGCGTAGTGTTTTCTGATTTTTAATAATATCTCTGAAGACATCTACTGTATATCTCTGAGTTAAACCAGAATCACCATTTAATAATATATTAAACAATAACTGAAGAATATTGATCAGGTTCTTACCACTGAGCATCTGAAAAAGTTCAATTCATACAAAACATCAAAACTACTTCAACCAGTTGCAATACAATCTAAATGCAGTCAAAGTAGGTTTGTGATCAACTTATGAGATCAGATTTTTAAAACTAAGGCATAGATCCTCAACATTACTGACATCTGAAATGACTGCTATCTTTATATAATATAGCTTACCTTTTCCCCCAAATCTTCATGTTGAAACACATTAAAAATAATAGATATAGAGAATATTATAATAGTTTTATTTTTATCACTCAGTGAAGAGATTAATGTTCTGTACAGTTTCTTGTGGGCCTGAAATACATATCATTAACAGTTTATTTACCAGAAATTTTTATCTGCGTCACTTTGAGTTTTTTAGCAAAAAAAAAAACAAATGGAATTGTCAAAAAATTAAACAGTTATGATGTCCAAATGTAAAAATAATAAAGCAAATAGTCATTTGTTAATTATGTTACTTCAAAGTATTGGTTCTGGTTCAGAATTTCAACTTACGGAATCTCTGATGTGTTTCTGTACTGTTATATTATTTCTACAGATATTAGCCAATAATCCTAAACATGGCTGAGTTAATTCACTTGAATTTTCACATCTGTTGAACGAAAATTAAAGATAAAAATATCAACATTTCAAAATGACATTAACACGATAAATATATGCCATAAATGGTATTATTGCTAAAGTTATGAAGCAGATGTCTCTAGTATTAAACAAGTCAAGGCAAACTTACTCTGCTTGTGGCAGGGTTTGTCATTATATATTTTATCCATGTGACAGGAATTGTCGGAGCTATGTTACTATAATAAATGAAAGAGAAATGATAGAGAATTGCACATATTCTACTTCTCTACACTTCTTTGGACTAATTGCCAAATAGTGTGCATTGAGAAATGACTTTTAAGGGCAGCCACAAGACTCTACACTTCATCGATTTTAAACTGTCAAGGGATCAGCACACAGTCTGGTAGCTCCTTCAACTACATAATGAAAACACCAGAAAAAGGTATTGAAACTTACATGTTAGTAATGAGGTAGGACAATAATAACTGTGTGTTATTATCATGATAGTTGACTGTTTGACCATATGTTAATCTTAATAACAATTCTAAACACTGAAATACATAGTAAACATTATGATTAACAATTACTATACATTGCCAAAATATTTTTAACATGTTCAATAGCATGAAAATTGCAAACCCTCCAAAGATCAGATTTTAATTTTGAAGTGCTACAGATCAATAAAATGAATATATTGCTTTAACTGGGGACCTAAAAATTAATATTTCAACAATATTACATACCTCAACAATAATATCATCAGATTGTCTGTCTAATAAATTACGTAAAACACTGGACAATATTCCACCAAGATGGAAATTCTTCTGTAAAACTTCACGTATTTCGCTGTCTTTCACTTAAATTTACAAGAAAAACGTTTCACACAAGTGCACATGAACTAAATAATAAATGAGATTGATCCACTACTGTACTCTACCTTAAATAGGTGAATGAATGATTGGCATGAGAAGAATCTACTATATCAGAAATACTGTATTGAAAATTTTTTCTAATAAACATAATTGGTGCTTTTCTTATAAGCTTATCCTGTCAAACCTAGATATACATGGTTGAGAAGAAGTTGAAATTATGTGTTCTTATAACTATTATATGCATTATAATAATTTTCCATTTATTCCAATGATTCTGTATAAAAATAGTGACTACAAACCTAAATTATTGAAGACCATAAAACAGTGATGAGCTACAGGTATCTTAACTTGTGGATCAGAGATAAACTGTACCAAACATGTTAAACATTCTATAGCTAAAATATTTTTTGAATTAAAAAACTTCAATGATGCTGGATTTGTTAGGTTGTTCTGTAAAGTCTGAAAAGAAATATTCAAACCTATTAAAATTCTATAAAACCTAAGATTATCTCGCACCATACAATGACAGTTACTAAACTAACATGTTCTGTACCGATACTGACTGACTCCACTTGAGCTTTGAAAATGGTATTCCATTAAATTTCTTGTGAGCATAACATTTAGTTTTAAAAATGAATGTTATATTTCTCTTCTTAAAGCATCTGATTCACTTTGTTGCTCCACTGAACATTTTAATAAGAAGAATAAAAATTCAGAGTAAATAAGCTTACCTCCAGCTGACTCTGTAAATGAACTAAGTTGCTGTTACTATCAGTAGTCAGATATTGGTTTGCAGCCATGAGAAGTGTTCTCACACACCCCTCCATTCTTTATCTCATTTAAACGAAACTGAAATAAACTTATAGTTATACACACAGGGGATGTTTCTGGCAGGAAAGTGTGTTTATTTGACCAATATTTCATGAATAACTAACTCGGCAACGGCGGCAGAATGCGTTTCAAATTTGATCGTATGATTGTTTTAAAATCTTGTAGTGAAATGATTGAAAAGTTCATTCTAAGCTCACCTGGTCAAAAAAGTAAGTCTATTTTTTTACGAGTGGAATAATTTCAAGCAAAAACAATGATGAAATAAATACTAAAAACTTACAAAATCATACATTCATAAATTTGTCTGTTTTTGTTTTGATTTTCAAAACTTGTTTAGGCGCCTACACTGTTGTACTTGCTTTGTTGTCGTCATTGATGAAATAAAACAGTTAAAATGTGGAGAACTTTCAGGTCTAAATTGTATGATTTGTTTTTAGAAGAAAACAGATTGATAAATTTCAAACAAAGGTAAGCTTTTAAGTGAGTGAATAGGTTTATTATTCTTTCCAGAGGTGAGGATACGCTTTTGACAATGAAGTTCGGAAATAATGGGCAGATAACCCTTTGAAAGGTTGGTCGCGAGTAAATGCCGAGCAAAGAAATAATAGTCCCTGATTCTGTGTTTTTATCTGTGAAATCACACAAAATGGACACAAACCACAATGTCATTGTCATGAAGGTTTCTATACAATCAATCATAATTTTAACACTTTATTACTCTACCCTTTGAAAGAAATCGTGCCATTTGTTGTTTATTTTATAACTGTTAGCCTACTCGGAAACATCCGCCTCTATTGTTATTAGTAGTCTATTCCAGCATCTGACAACTTTCACTTGTCACAATAGCTATCATAGCCGTTAATAAGGGAATATTTTTCGGATTAATTGTACTGTAATCTAATCTTACGACTCTTTTTACAAGAATGTGAATATCGGCATCAAACTTGTATTGTTTAAGTGGACCCCTACTCACGTTTCTATTTTAATATCTAAACTTCAATTTTCTCTTCATTAACAGATGAAAGAATTGGAGATTTTAGAATCTGAATTAAAAAACCTAAAGAAAGGAGCTGTAAGTGTAAATTAAATTTTTGTTTTGATCAGTATTCAATGTGTGATCTATTAGTATAAATCAGTAAAGATATTTTAGTAGAAATTATTATTATTAAATTAACAATCTGTCAGGTAAACTCAATTTTTACTTTTTAGAAAGTTTATTATCAACAGCCTAACAGCAGTATATTTTTCCTGTCAAATATAGATACAGAACTGCCCAAAGTTGCAGGTAATGAGATTATAAAGGTTTGAGTAAGCTTATACAGTAGCCTAGGCCTACCAGCTTAAGACAAGAATTGTAAAGATTTGGTCTTTGAAACGTTTTATTTTAACCCTTTGGATCTTTTATTCTTTTGTTATTTATATGTAGGTCCTATATTCAAAGTTAATCATGGAACACTATCTGAACAATATTTCTGACTATGTTGTTGGTATTTTGAACTTCCTAATATTTTTCTTTCAAAGGAAAGAAGAAAGAATTACAGAAGAAATGATGATCATTATCAGGTGACATTGCTGTTTCTGGATTATGAACACATTGAGATCAACACTTTTGTTTGGTGATTTTTTATTTCAAACCTTAAAATATGAATTTGATCTCTTGTGTAATGGTTAAAAAAGGAAGACAATTTATAATGCCTCTAAGATGTCTAACTGTGGCTGTTCAGTAGTCATTCTTCAGTACTTTAAATTTTGATGTCTATGTGATACACCTTGATTTGAATAAACCATAAATGGACGTTTTAAAAGTGGATTAAATACTGACACTGCTACTGTAATTACAGGAATGTCCACTAAATTGACTCTTTTAAGCAGTCAGTGGTTTTGATTTAGGCTATATATACACAGAAATAATCCATGTGAATAATTGATTTATTTCCCAATGTTTTAGTGTACAATATATTCTAGAATAAATTATAAACCTAACAAACTATAAACAATTATCTTTATAGAACACCAGCTAATCAGTCTAAGATAAACATGTAGATCTATGAAATTAACATCAGAGCTGACCATGTAAAAGTCAATTTCATAATATAGGTTTAAGTTTGTTTCTCAAATTATTTTCCTATTTTTGAGGTTCAATTTCAAGTCTTGCTAGTAGTAAAGCGTGATTTTCTTCCAGAATGTACATAAAAACATTTGACCTACTTTACTCTAGTATGTAGACCAATCTTTCAGTTGACATATTTCATTTGCAGTCCTGTAGGTTGTTTAATCTAGACAGATATGGTCTATGGTGAGATTTATTTGGTTAACATTACACAATATTGCACCACTGCAATCTATATTACTAAGCCCACACAACATGGAAGCAAATTTAACAATAAATATAATTTCTCTTCGAGTCAGACATAATATTTATACATGTCAGATGTGCATTTGTCACATGACACCAATGTTTTGGAAATAAACACATAATGTTTAGATAAGTTTAGAGGCCATCCTGATATGCATCAATGCTAGTCGGACTATAAATTTCTAACAAAGTTAATAATACTGATAAATAAAGTTACAAGCATGAAAATTATTGCTGGTTCAAGCCAAAATCGCCCATAATTGGAGAGTTTTGAACAGGTTCTGTCTATTCCAATCGACCGGTATGAAAGAGGATATGTCACATTAAAAATTTTCTCATCTATTTCCCTTTCCGCCATTTTGAATTCTTTCTGCACTTACTATATTTTGGGCGCACATGGTGTTTGATTGAACGTTCTGTAGATTCCATAAATCCTGAACACCCAGAACTCACCAATCAAGCTATCAATGATTTATAAGTAGTTTTATAATATTTTGATTTTACCAATGATGTAGAGAAATGAATCAGTACTGTTATTATTGTTTAAAGTATTCATGGTTTAAAACAAATCTTATTGTCTGAAAAAGGGGTGGTATTAATGAAAAAAATAGACAAACAAATAAATATAACAAATAAATAATTTATGGTCATTTTGAAATGCTGAGCTCCAAACCTTGTCCCACAAACTGAGGACGTTTTAATACATAGAACGTTTGTAACGTTTTGAAAGATTAAAGTAAGCTTGATGAACTGCACCTTAAAATAAGATTTAGGTTTAAGAATTTGCTTGGATTTTAAAATGAAACACAACTGAAATAATCCAATAAAGTTACTGAGAGATGAATATAAATGATATAAACTTAACAAAATATAAAGAAAAATATAACATAACTAATAGTATAAACCGGTTTCAAGCTTGTTCTTAATTTCACCAGGGTCAAATCAATGGAATGTCGTTTATAGTTTAAAATACAGTCCATACAAAAAGTCAAATGGTAAGAAAAAGTGAAACTGATGATAATGAAATTCATAACTAATAATTTAATTTAATCAATTACAAGATTTGGTAAAGTTTTTCTTAATAAATCTGAAAACATGACCTACAATAAGCTAATACAAATTTACAATACACTCCATAGAGAAATAGTAGCATGTACATTGAAACTCTTTCTTACCTCAAGTTGCCTAATCCAGATCATTTTCCTTAACAATTCTAGATTCAAATGTATTTGGCTGTCCTACAACCTTTTAATGTCATTACACAAAGTAAGAATGGATTTCACTGTACTTTTCTTAGCACTAGTAAAATATACATGTAAATAGCTTAATTTAGGTATAATCTCAATACAACACAACAGCAATAGTAATGATAAAAGAACAACATTAATGATATGTTTGAGTATAAGGCCAACACAATCTCCTTTCAAAAACTATTCAGACTTTCTGACAATTGTTCCTCTGACTTATTTCTGAACAATTCTTCTTGGTTTAATCAAGGAACAAGCTGACAATGTCCCAAGAATTTATTTAATAACTGTTTATGATCGATTCAATTTGAGGATTTTTTTAAAATGAACAAAAGTAGTTTTCTATATGCGCTTGTCTTTACATTGTCATTAATTTGTAAGTTAACAGGCAAAAAATATGTGGAATAAATATTAAATAAATACTGTAACAAAACAAATTTGTATTATTCTGCTTTTTTTTTCAATTATTTATGAATTAATAATATGATAACCCACAGACCATTTTGACTATAGACCGGACTGAAAGCAACTTGTAAATGTCTTCTTTAGCTTATGATAAATGAACATAGTAAAGGTATTGCTAAAAATTCTATTTTGATGTTTTACAACATAAAGAATAAGATCGAAATTAACACTGAGCAATAAGTAATATTGAAATGCCTATTTATTTTGATCTTGCTGCGATTTAGAATGAGATTACTGTAGTTTATTGTGTATTTTGTGTTTCAGGCATGATGTATGAAATGTCGTCCCAAGGATGTCGATACAGTCCTTGTTTTAATCTCTTCTGATCTAGATAGTGACCTGAAAATAGATGTAAAATTGAATTTAATACAAGTTTTTATACAGGTTTCCCAAAAAAACTACATTGTAATAGTCAATTTGATACCATATAACAGATTTTTGATGTAAGAAGAAATACATGAGAACCAAAGTTGCTTTCAGTGGTTTGTTACTGTAACCCCATTAAGCTCTTACTTAAGCATGTGACATCTCAGACTGAAAATCTTTACAGCTTAGATATATACTGCTTAAATAGCATATTGTATTAATATTAAGCAATATAATTTCTAAAAGTGTGTCAGAAATGACAATCATAATTTTCAGACTTCATGGCAAGTCCTAGTTTCACAACCATCCGCTACAAATAATGTTTTGTTAATATAAAATATCTTACCAATAAATCCCATACTTCTTCCTAGGACAAACAGAGCATTGAGAGCTCCAATTTCTACATATTCCGCAGCTTCTTCCCTACAAAAATATACAAATATTATGATAAAATCTGATTGAGACTTGCTTACCATTTCTATAAAAAATGTGTCTTTCATGCTTACATATATGAATAGAAATTTAGTCAGTCTTGTTAGACAGAAGATCACAAGAAATTTTATTGGTTCTCAGGTAAAACAAGCAATGCTTTTAGTGTAAAACAGACTATACCTTGTGAAACAACCACAATTTCTTAACAAATCAACAAATGACACCCCTATAAAACCATCAACATTCAAGATAAGATTGGGTTTCTGAAAAAAAAGATTAAATTACTTGAATTGTGTGGATTTTAATTTACTTTAATATCAAAACTATTAATCTGTACATGCCTACAATTGCAATACATACACATATAATGTATAAACTGAAACTGAATGCCTCATTTCTGAAGTACATGAAGTTGACAAAACCAAATGCTTTGTTTCACAATTACCTTAGATGTTGTAATTCTTTCAACTTCTAGAGCATAATCTAACAATGGTGAAGCAGGGAAATGTTTCTTCACATAATCTTTTAATATGACAACTCTCATGTCTGGATTATTTAACTGTAAAATATAAATAGTGTTACTAACAATATTTATAACATATCAAAATTCCCCTCGTTTAAATGAGTAGGCAGTTCTTAGCTGTGGTATAACTAGGATAAATCAAACTTACGGAAAGTTTTACTCTGTAAATGTATAGAGAGGAGGCAGTAAGTGTTTATGATGTGACAATCTGTGACAATATAGCAGAAATATTGTGGAATATATGTAGGTGATCTTCCATTTTAAAATCAATTATTGCAATCATCAGGAAAACCAAAAAATATTGGCAGACTCTGGCACGGTTAACTCCAGGAACTTTGCTATAATTATTATTTTTTACAGTCTGACTGGACAAAAAGCAAACATGAGGATTTCTATCCATCCAGTCTTTTTACTGTAAAATTTTCCAGTGATTGACTCTACTCCTTTCAAATTCATCCCGACTGTCCCATGATTTTCTATTATAAATGAAACAGTAGTATGACTACTACTCAATAGTTTAAGATAGTAGAACACCTATTATATTCAGTAGTCAAGCTAACTTTACTTACCGACTTAACTCTGTGTCCAATACCCATTATAAGCTGTCCCTTCTTGCGCATATCATTGACAAAATCCATGGGAATCATTCCTCTATCATATGCATCACTGAACTGTTTGGCTGCTGCATCTAAAGCACCACCAAATCTATCTCCCTAAAATGAAAACCAATCGTGTTAAGTTTCATAGCAGCTAATTATTTTTTTGTTGCTATCATAGCTGCATGTTTCAAAGATGCTTAAAATGCAACATCAAATCATATAAGTTTAAATTTGGCATAACATATAAAACTCATTAACTATTTAGGTTTATCATTCATTTTTCAAAAAAACATATTACAACATTTCTTACAAACAAGGTGGAAAATCTGTGTTAAATTTTTTAGAAATAAATGCTGAATACTTACAATAGTGAGGAGACCAGAAGTTAAACTAGAAATCAGATCTTTTCCAGCTCGAGCACAGACAATAGTATTGTGAGCTCCTGAAACAGCTGGTCCATGATCAGCTGTTACCATTAGACACATCTCAATAAACTTAGTGGCATATCTAGGTAATCTATAATATACAAAAAAAATTACACAGTGCAAAATCCTTAATTTTGAGAAATTTGAGAAAATGTTGGAGGAGACTAATGCTTCCTCTGTCTTAAAGTAATTTACAGCCCTGAAACAAATTTTTCTGAAAATGACCGCTAAGAGCCAAGACCAACACAATACAGGTACACCAATAATGATCTTCAATTAACTAATATATTCCTTAGTTCTTAAGAAACCAATTGACAATATTACCTTCTTTGAAACCACAACAAACTGAGAACTCCACCAATTCCCATGTCTTCTTTAAATATATCAGTGATAGGGATACCAGCATACAGTAATTCTTGTCCTCTCTCATCACAAATACTCGTCATAAAGGATGCTGGTTTACGAATCAATCCCAGTTCCTAGAAATTACACAAAAGGTATGGTCTTTTATTGTCAAAATAAATTCAAAGAAATTGAATTTAATAAATTCAATTTCAAGAGAGGTTATAAAACATATTACATCGATTCTTCTTCGAAAATGCTAGAAACACAGATGAAATAGGCACTGAGGGCAATTATTGTTAATACACCATTAATATTATTTACTTACACAAGCCCAGGTATAATCCATGGGAACAGTTGGTGGTGGAACTTCATTTTGTACTACAATTACTCCTTCTTCTACTAGTTTATCATATACTTCTCTACAATTAAAACATAAACAAATTAACAAGTAGGACTATACATCAAACAAATAGTATATTATTCTTTGGAACTATAAATGTTAAACAAAAGCTCTTTCATTAAGGAACAAATAACACCAGAAGGATGTCAGTGTCAGGACGATATCAATGATAATGTCAAGCTTATTATAACACTTTCCCCATGCTTTCTAGATGTATTCTTGCACAGATGACTATAATCAAAAAACACTTCATTCAGGAGCTTTTTGCTCTAAATTTCTTGTAATCATAGCACTTACTTGATCAATGTACCCAACTCATCAAAACTCTTTGGAACATGAGCACCAGCCTCTGCCAGAGCTGCATTCTTACAGGTTGCAGTTTCAGCCTCTGCATTAGCACAGGCACCAGCATGGCCAAATTGGACCTGTATTTAAGAAAAACAAAAGCATATGTCAAATTGTACAAAGAAGGTATAGAGCAATAGAATATAAGGGCAATAGTACATCATGTCTATAACATGCATTAACTACATCAAAATCATCTAACTAATTATCCAATCATTTGTTAAAGCATAGGATCTAATCTAATCTAATAGGATCTAGTCATCACTTGAATCTAAAATTAATAAAACAGCTCTGAAGATAATTATTCTAGAAGCCTACCTCTGATGTAAACATTTTAGCACAAGTACCAATACACCAAGCTATAACTGGTTTAGTGACACGACCTTCTTTTAAAGCTGATACTAACTGATACTCTTCTGTTCCTCCTACCTGAAATCATTTGAAATAAAATTAACACATAACTCACTACTATAACTTCTAACACAAGTAAGTAATTAATAGCTCTCATAAATATATTCCATGAGGTTAAACTTGTATGTAGGATAAAATCAACACGAAGTTCATAAGATAATGCCACACATTCTCTTCTTTCTGTTGACCTAAAGTATATTTACAATGGATAGTGAAATATATATAATTCATAAATAGTAGTACAAAAACTTACTTCTCCCAACAAAATAATCATTTTAACATCTGGGTTATCTTGGTAACGTAAAATATGGTCCATAAAAGTGGTTCCAGGATATCTAAAATATAGAGACTTATTATAAGAAACTATAGGTTAAGTTTTTCTCAAATGATTATCACTGGGTTGGAAATGAAACCAAATAATAAATATCGAAACTAAGCAAAAAGAATCTTACAGAAAACTATGGAGCCCCTTAATCGCAATTTTCAACACTTTTTATTATTATTTAGTTTAAACGAATTAATTTTTTCCTCTATTTCGTTTAAACGAATTAATTTTTTCCTCTATTTCGTTTAAACGAATTAATTTTTTCCTCTATTTCGTTTAAACGAATTAATTTTTTCCTCTATTTCGTTTAAACGAATTAATTTTTTCCTCTATTTCGTTTAAACGAAATAATTAACCCATCTTTTTATTTCGTTTAAACAAAATATTATTTCATTTAAACGAAATAAATGATGTTATTTTGTTTAAACGAAATTAATTATTTCATTTAAACGAAACTAATTATTTCGTTTAAACGAAATAATAAACAAATATGTTAAGGGGCTCCGTAGAAAACATATTAAGACTTGTTTTATTCTAGATCGGGTAGTGTTTATATTCCCAATGGTTACCGACTCACAGTAGACATTTGATAGTCATGTTCAGTTGTTGAAAATAATTGGTAAGAACTAGCAACTATGCCCCCTAATCAAACTGATAATTTAGTATCAAAATTGAATATTGGTCTTACCTATCACCACCAATAGCTACACCCTCATTGACACCATTGGTATTGAGAGAAATAATGTTATTTAATTCATTCGACATACCACCTGATCTAGATACATAGGCTACACTGAAAAAACAACCACAGATACATCATCAAGGATTATTAGCCAATGATACATCGTGTAGTATGAGATCCATCAATTAACTGAATTTATTTCATGTCAAAACACATATACTAATATATAAAAAATAAAAAACTTTAATGCTAATAATTCTAAGCTGTAACAAAAGAGGATTTTCTACATAACGTAGAAGATAGACGTATAATATGATTGAACATACCTGCCAGGGCGGTAGAGTTTAGATGCTAGTATATTATCTAACATACCACCTGTATTACCAATCTTAAAACATCCTGGTTTTACCCCACCAACCTGTACGTAAATATACCATATATAAATATACCACATAATTATAAACATACATAACCCTAATATCAACATTGAAAAAAACTGTCATGGTTTCAAGAAAATTTCTCAAGAGTTCAAACAAGAACTGAATCTTTCCACTTAAAGTTGATCTATTAAGCTCAACTAATCTGTATAATACCAGTTTTGATTCTCAGCAATTAATTTTTAACCAATATAATGGAGTTTAACCATGAAGCATAAATTTGAGACTAATAAAAGAGTAGGTGTAAAATATAAACATACGGTAGCAGGACCAATAATAGAAACACCCTTTTCATCAGCTGTTTTAATCAGGAGTCGTGTCTGGTTTTCTGGGATTCCTTCAGCAATAATAGCTATAGTTCTTATCTAAATAAACAATTAATAAAAATACTATAACAAATATTCAATAAGTATTTACATATTTTATAGGTAAAATTATAGAAAGAAGCGTAGGATGTTAACTTTATGTGACTTCACAAGGTAACAAATGCTTCACAGGCCATTCAGGTATATATCATGTGATTAGGAGTTAAATTGAAGATGTTTTTAACCAGACTTACCTGAGGGTAGGCCATGGTTTCTAGAGTACTATCATAAGCTGATCTGAGTGAGGCGAAACTAACTAAGACATCAGCATCAGGATGTTTAGTCATAGCATCACTCATATTCTTATATACTGGTATCAAAACCTCTTTATGTCCCCAGTAAAACTTCTGTTTATGGTCTCCACTGTAAAAATCAAATCAAAATCACAAATATTTCTTTAAATAACTAGGCCAATATTTTTGCACTATTAAAATTGTTGATCATATATTTTAAAACTAATGTCTGCAGTGTAAACTAAACCTATTTACAGTCTCGAAAGATGGTCTCTATAATACATTCATACAAACTAATTCTAATTTTTTAAGTTTCATTATACCATAATAATAGGGATGACTTAGCTACTGTTTACATATTTTCATTTTTTGCCTTCAACCTATAGATTAACAAGAGCATTTTCTAAACTACAGAAAATAAAGATCCAAGTATACTTACGTAAAAGGGTAAATCATGGCTACAACTGAAGGTTCTTTACGAGAACAGACATAGTCGAAATCCATCATACTCTGTACAGCTCTAGCCTGCATACCCCATACAATAGCTTTAGTTTTCTTCGAGAATAACTGTGCAGTTTTATCTTTACCAGATCCTTGTGTTTGTTGTACACCAAGATTAGATATAGGGGATTTCCCACTATCTTGTTTATCATTTACATCTGTGGAGCTTCGTCTGGCATCGGGTGTTTGCTAAAAATGGCAAATGATAATTCAAATTATTTATCATAAAGATTTTATAGCATTAGCAAACTAAATGGAAATATGATGTTATAATTTCGGGAAAAATACATAAACCATATCAATTCTACCAATAACTGTATCTTAACACAAATTATTTCGAAAACACAGAAAAACACAACTTTAGGAAAGGGCAATGAAACTCAAAATAAGAACAAAATTCGAAACAATCAATATCATGTAAGCAGCAAATACAAAGCCTTTTAACACAAGCAGATAATAGTAGTTAAAGCCCTAGATATACACCAGAATATTATGAATATTAGAAATTTGATTTGACAATGACTGAAGGCATGTATAGAGGCTCAGTAAAATGCAATATTAATTTATTTGTGTAAATAAACTATGAAATTAGAGCAGAATATAAGAAAAAGATAAGAAAGTAAGAGAAACTACCACAGAGTAAACACCAAGCTATAAGAGAGTGCAGAGCTTAATGAATTTCAAGTCTATTTGAGATTTCTATATCAAATGCAATAAATAAAGTTTACTAATAGACAAATAGTATGTCAAGAATGCACAGTGTGAAACTCTCCACTATTTTCAGGTTTTTATATTTCTATATTCTTATATCAATCTTCAATTTGATGTATTGATCAGTATTTAAACAGTGAAAATATATTGTTATATCAGACTAATATATCTGTTATTGTGAAGCCTGTACAGTTTTGATGGTTAAGATTATCACTTTACAAGAGCTTGAAAGAATTACATCTTGAAAGAAACATGAAATGAAACAATGTAAACATGCATAAAGCAGGAAATACTAATGACATACAGTTTAAAATCTAATATAATACTAAGAAAGCCATAAAGCAGTATCTAAATTTCAATCATTTTACCACTAGTGACCATGAGGGCAAAGGGTTAAATTAAATACACTAGAAAGTAAAGGAAATGAAAAGATAAGAAATAGGCTATGATAAAGACTTCAGACTCTACCTGCATCAGCTGAAAGCAAATGGAAATATAACTTATAAATTTCTAGCTTTAAGGTAATAAAGGAGACTAGCATGAAATAATCACATTTAATATCTATACAAATATGAGAGTCACTGCTTAGCTTATAAAATTAACATAGTTGTTTTGGGTTTCAGTATATTATGTGACAATAGAATGATAGACGTGATCTACCTTAATTACGCCATTTTGCTTTGTTTTTACAAATTGCGGCTATCATAGAGTGTCAATTTTAGACATGAACAAATTCATACTTTTTAGACTCATAAGAAAAGTGACTAAAATAAAAACCAAAAAAAATTAAACTTACAGCTCCCCCTAACAGGAAGTTAGCTGTAGTTTTCTTGGGTCGTGGATCATGTGGGATATTTTTCTTTCCCAATGCCATGCTGACAATAGATGTCATGTGAGTTTCTGGTCCAAAAACATGAATTTCAACACCAAGAGTATCACCTAGAATAAAAACAAGGTTTGAAAATATTCATCTTATTGATCATCATGCAAAATGGTCATATTTTATTAGAATGATGAAGACATGTAGTGATGGAAACAATTCCAACCAAACTGGTCTTATTCAATACAGATTTTCAGAATTGTTACAATAAGAGCATGCTCCTAAATCTATATATTAGTATAGTGCTAGTACCTACCTAAATCTCTCATGATTCTAAGACCTTCCTGGTAGTTAGGTCCAGCTCGACGGACATAAATCTTGACATTAAACTCTATTAGTTTCTGTTGATATTCTCTTAAAGCTCGCACAATACCCTGTTAAATAAAAATATTTACTCCTGAACAAAATGTCATATTTTAAATTTTTATATTTTGATAGTTTTCTTCAAGAAGACAATTTAATGTTGTTACATCAGTTGCACAAAATTAGAATGGTTATAGATAGAATTGTTGATCAGTCTGTAGTTGGTTGCGTTTGATTAGAGGTTGTGACTTTCAATTGAATATGTTCTTGAACATTACCTTGAATGTTGTAGCCACATTGGTAAAGTTGGCAATTCCACCACCAATTATCAAAATCTTCCCTAAAATAAGAAAATAATATCTTTTCTTTCAATAATTCTACAAATATTTATCAATTTTATTCTTTCTTTTAGATATTACAGAACATTTATAGACTTTTATTAGAACAAGATTTTCTTTTACCTGGTTATTGGAATGACCAGCTGATAGCATTACTATATCAAAAAGCATCTGGTTTGAATGGTTTTTAAATTCATAATCTGGTCCAGTTTTAGTAGATCCATATATTATACAGGTAGAGCAAAGATAAGATGTGAATACATCATGGGCTCTGTTTTAATTTTCACATTACTTACCTTCAGGGTGCTTTTTCTGGGTCATCAAACTTAATAAAGTTTTAGCGTATTCGTAGGTTTGTTGTTCACTAGGAGCTCCAGAATATTCTCCATAGTTACTGAGTTCTTTAGCGCCACCTAGATCACAGATCGTGTCCCTGAAATAAAAATTAATATGGTTGGATGCATTCAGATCATTTCTCTTGATAAACTTACTTGTTGAACTTTATAAATTTGAAGAAGATTGGCACCTATCCCAGAAGGCTAGTGTGTTCTCACTTGTGGTTACTAATGTTAGAAATGTTGTGTTATAAGCTCAATATATACAAATCTTACTAATAACTTACGCATAAATAACAGAAGCACCACCTCCAGCCACCATGGTCCAGATTCTTCCTTCTTTATTTAATATTGTTAGTTTTAACGAAGCTCCACTTTTAGCATCCAGATCAGCAATGTAGGCTTCCTGTAAAATATAGTAAAGTTTTATCAATTCTATTCTGCAACAGAAAACACAAGGGAATATATTATGGTATAACACACTTTCAACACAATTTACATGTCTCGTCATCAGATGAAATAAAGAGGGAGGGCGTGAACAAGGGAATGTATAGTAAAGTTGTTGTTTTTTGCAGAGATAGCTTGATAAAGGGATTAGTCCCGAAATGTATCAAATATTTACCTACTGTTTGCACGTTATTGTGTGATCTATTTTTTCCTTTAGTAAAGATGGGGAAGCCATAAAGTAGTTCAGTAGGTTAAAACAGCACAACAATGAAACTAATCCAATAACAGTGAACAAAACAATTATTAAAACAATGATTACAAACAGATAAAGGAGGTTAATAGATGAATGGAGGGAGGGGATAACCCTTTATCATCTATTTATCCTATATCTGTTTGTAATCACATTTCAAGAGAACTAACCTCTGGTAGAGCATCACGTCCAAAAGGAGGAGGAAATTCCATGACACCCCATTTTGATTTACACAGAAACTCTGCAGTCTGATCAATCTTAGCTGCTAAATCCAATACATAGATCTTCTCTCCCACCATCACTAAAAGAACCAGCTTTCATTTGTTTAATATCAAAGCCTTTTTTTTTTAAATACAAACTTACTAACAAAATGTAGGATCTTCGAAAAATATTGTTTTAAACAAACTGCAATGGTCAATAACGTTTCACCCATAAACCTAATTTTACTATGCTATGAGTATTTGTATGAACTGCTGTCCAACACAAGTTCTACAAGAGCAGTAACTCAGATATACAATATTCTGACTTACCAAGTGGATTAATCTCTAAATAAGTAAAGTGTATTTCTTTATAAACACTGTATAGTTTTAATATAAATCGACATAAATTTCTGAAATAAAACATATAAAATATACGAATTACGTTACAAATTACTATAAATATAAAAATTACAAATAACATGCTATTCATTTATAAGTTATAAGCTTAATAAAACCATGGCAGACTTGTCTGTTAGTTAGAAAATAATACAGAATTAAACTGGAAATGAAATTGAGCTTACATTCTACTCTTCTACACCTTATTGGACATTAAAAAGAAAGTCAGCCCTATGCATGTTGGTCTCTCTCATACATGTATCACTGACAAGTAAAGAATTTCAGCCAAGATAAAGGTTGAGTTCTAGAAAAGCTTTATGCTATATATCCATCAATATGTTTACAGGAAATCAAATTAAAAGCCAAAGAATCTTACGTTTGTTTGGCTGTTGGTACTTTAGATAATAATTTACTTGTTACATCATTGGCATTGATTTCACTACCTACTGGTACCTCCAAATTAACAGCCTACAAACATAATACAGTGAACTACAAAGGAAATGGAGTTTTACATCCTAGTATTTTACACAGTATAATAAGGTCTAGAAACACTATGTAAAGCAAAAATAACACAATTTGAAACAACAAAACTAGACTTAGTATCCTTTTTGACTCCAAGGAGTTGCAAGATCCCATAGAGATCCACAGGTCAGCCTTTCCAAACTAAACTTGTATAGAAATGTAACTAAAAAATGTCAAAATAAAGCAAGAGAGTAGTCTATTTTTAGTTAAAAAAACCTTCATATAAAAAAAAATTTGTTGATCTTCAGGAGAATAGACTTGTGACTACAAATAAAATTTGTATACCTTGGCATCTACATCACCAATATCTATACCACCCTCATGATGAAATAAGATAGTATCAGCATGGCGGTGAGAGTGAATACAAACATAAAATTCTTCATTTTGTTCATGAGCAATGAATGGTTCAATTATAAAATTCTTCAGTTTGCCTCTTGAACTTCCAATCTGAAATTTTAAGAAAAATTTAATGAATGAGTAGGCTTAGTCTTCATTACACTAATCAAAACGAGCAATGACATACAATGAGGGAAACTCTGTCCATAGAGCAGCATTAGCCTACTGTTTTTCAATTTCCCACTGAAGACATTAATTCGGAATCGATAAAGAAAGAATAAATAATTAAAAATCATGATGAAAGCAAACAAATGAATGAACTTGAAAGACAAATGAATGAACTTGAAAGACAAATGAATGAACTTGAAAGACAAATGAATGAATGATGCATTGAATAAAAGAACAATTGTTAGATCAAATGAATGAATGAGCTTAAAATAGAATGAAATATTGAAACTTGAGCAACATAATCCTGTCTTAGTTACATCCATCCATGTTTTAGATCAACAATCAAACTGGGGACAGTGATAACTTTTGAAGGTTAGATTATAAAAGAGCAAATTAAGCAAAATCACTGAACAGGAGTTGATAGTCAAAAGAAACATTATTCTTTATTAGTAGATTTACAAGTTAAAATAATTTTATCCATATGAAGTTTACAAACCAACAGGCTGAGGACAAACTTAGAAACTAGTTTTGCAAGTCTTACCATAAATTCTTTTCCTAGTTTATTATCCAACCATTCTTTCACACCATTTAAATCTGCTCCAGCCTTAATTAATCCTAGTTTACCTCTTCTTTTAATTAGCTGATCAGGCTTAACGACCAGTTTCTATAATAAAACATCAAGTTATCAATAGAAATATCCTTTCTACCAGCTAGTCCTTGGCCAAACCTCTTGGCATTGATCTTTCCAGGATTATCCATACCCATTTACTTATCGACCCATGGGTCGACTATGAGTGAAGATGACTTATTTAAGGTCATCAGAAACAGTTCAGAAGCAACGCTCTAACTGACTGTGCTATAGAACCTCACATATTACCCATCATGCACATTTCCAGCAAAATTCAACATGTAAACAAAAGTATTCTATTTTGAGGATAAATATATGGCACATCGAAACAATACCACTTCATCAGAGGGATTCCTTGCTTTCACAAACATGTTTCAATGACATTTATAGCATGTATTTCTTCCTTTCCTCCTGCCCTAATTCAATTTCCATTTGTAATTTTGGGTCTCTGTAGTTTTTGTGACTTCTGTTAAACAAAAAGAAATTTGACTTATAATACCTCAGCATTGAGCCATGCATGATCTTCACTTAGCTGATTAAAGTTGGTGGTTTCTCGAACTTCAGCAAATCTGTTCTTAATGGCTGTATCTTCAAGGAATTTATTTAATAACTCCTTTCCTTTAGCTTCTGATATAGCCTTGGCAGACATCTTGTTTTAGCAAGTGTGTGGTATATGGATGATCAATCTAAAGCTGAAATTTACAAAAGAAATTCATCATTTTTTCAAAAATTCGTAAAAGCTAATTGAAAGTTTCAAAGTTGCTTTCTTTTTGATTAAAACATTTGTTGTATTTATCACTTTTTGAATTGCAAATCAGAGGACAAATCATGAGTAAAATTGTTGTACAAGCATCAAAAGATTTTATCCCTTTCGAAAACCCTGAGAAATTTATCAAAATTTCACTGACTGATACTTTTTCTGAATAGCTAGTTCTAAGTTATGTGTACTTTAAAAAACATACTCTTTGCGACCTGATATTTAGAAAACCTTGTACCAGTACTCTACCTGACAGATGCGCCATTTGTTTTGACCAATCAAATTTTATTCTCAAACGGGAATTTTATAACTAAGCCAATAAGTAATAGTGTTCACAGCTCACCATCGAAATTTGAGCCTTCGAATCCATGTGTGTCCAGAATTATCTGAGTTTGAATGTTAAAATGACGACTTGACGACTAGAAATATTAAGTGAAATTCCTAGTTTAAAGTAATTTTAAAGGGATTATATTTGGAATGCCAATTTCTTGGTACCGTATATGATTAAAGATTTTGGTATATAATTTGAGTTTCTTGGTATAAAATTTCAACTTCTTGGTATGTGATTCTATTATGTTGGATTTTTTTCCCTTTTAACATTCCATAGTTATGCGATTTTCATACATTTCTGGTGCTACTAAAGGCTATTTACATATATTCAAGACTAAAATCAACCTTTCAAAATAGCGCAACTGTCCCTTTAAACTTTCAGTAAAATAATATGCAAGCAATAAATATGTAAAAATTATATAATGTGTAATGAAATATGAGGTGTACTGTACATAGACAAGGAAGTGTTGAATATTCATCTTATTTTACACAGAATATAAATCATACCAGGTTTTATTTCATGCTTAATTTCACAAACTATATCTTATATAACTTTATCATCTATAACATAAACTCTTTTATATAGAGATTATATCTTATATATATATATATATATATATATCAAACTAAATAAGACTTTCTTCACATAGATACTAGTTTCAAGATATTAAGATAATGTATTATAAGCTTAATACTGGCAACATATTCTCGAAACGATCTTAGAGCTAGGATGTCCTGGAATCAGTTTTAGAAGGTAACAACCTAGAACATCCTAGTGCTAAGAGCGTTTCCAGAATATGTGACCTGGTTTGAGCCTAATCCTATTCACTCACATTAAAAAATTAGCTGAAGAAAATAAAGGTAAAAAAAATCCAGTCCCATGATCAAAATTACTTTCTGCATCTAGCCAGTGTCACCTGTGAAGTTTAGATTTAAACTAGAGGACAAATGTTTAAGTAGCACTAAATGAATATATAAGCAACCTATTTGGTTGATCAGTACCTGATATGAGGTTCACAACATGTGTAATATGTTATATAAGGTAACTAGTTGTATAATATATCTATTGTCTTATATAAAATATCAAATCTCATCAGTAAATCAGAATAGATGACAGAGTGTACAATACATGACATCTCTAAGTTAAGATAACCCATCGAATGGCAGGAAGAAATGAGCTTCATTTTAAAACACCAACCTTAAACATCAGGGTTCAATCTGGATTGAAAAATTTGTTTAGCAATTTATCACACCAAATTTCAGTTTTGGATTTAGAATCAAGATAAAATTTTGATTCATCACATTTCATAAAAATTCGGTAGCAATTTTATAAATGTATATATATTCCAGTTTGTAGAGTCCAATGACGTAAGTTTGTTAAGGTTACAGAGAGTTGAGCTGTGTATTAAAGCCTTGGCATAAAATTATCATGAAAAACATACATTTTGATTCAATTTGCAGATCTTCGAGGTAAATCTAATTTTTAGCTAATCAAATGAAATGTTGACTTGCAGACACTTCTTTAACCATGGGCGAGTGCATCATGAATAGTAACATGTAATCATTCAACCATCCTAATCTCTAGTACCGGTACATAATATATTATTTGACACTAGTCATGTATAGGTTTACTATTTACTGCACAGTTTAAAACAAATATTTATCAAATAAAACATGTCATAGTTCAAACCTATAATATTGCCTTTTGAAATTGATAAGATTGCATATTAAAATTAAATAACCATAAACGGATTGTAAAGAGTTTTTCTTAATATTTCATGTGTATCAAGGACACTGATAGCATCAATTCGCACCATTCCAATTTTTAATCAGAAAAATATGTTATAGCAAATAAGGTCTTTTTTGTTTTATGATGAAAAGAAAACAGTTACTATTGACAACCCACAAGTCACTATTCAAAAGAAGGCACTGGCACAAGTTTAATAACTAGCTAGCAGCTAATAGCTAGAATCACAAACATCTGATTGAAAATTGGAATGATGCAAATCAATGATATCAGTGATATCCATGATATACATGAAAATGAAGAAAATCACTTTACAATCCCTTTAAATCATACAGTTTGACAGACTAATACAAACAGGTTCAATACAGATCACTATCCACAATTACTTTCCTCTAAATATGTATCTTAGAATTCCTCTTAAACACATAATTATATTTAAAAAAAATTCTGAATTAACACTTTAATGCTTATTTTGTTATATAAAGTTTTATAAGACTTAAAGAGATTTGAAAGACTTCGATGTACCATTACCAATAAAATACATTGTGATTTTAAGTGATAATTTATTTTGCAATTTAAGATCATTCTACAACTAAAGAGTGTCCAATACTTCCATTGTTCTCTGATATAAGTAAGCAACTTACCAACAGCGTTGGGTCAAAATACTCAAAATATATCAGGCTGATATTGCCACGGTTTCTAACTGTCAACTAAGAGAATCAATCGCTAACTAACCTAACTATCTAGATGATCCATGATTTAAATATATCACCCAATAACATGGTTGATTGACTGAAAATAATCCTAGATTCCTACCAGCTGGTACCAGCTGTCTATTCATTTCAACATCCCTACAAAATGTTACCATCTCATAAAAATTAATGATCCAATGTTAATGAGGAGTTTAATCCCTTCATTTTTTCCTACTTACAATAGACAAATACTTACATAAGCTTACTAAAATAAATGGAAAACATGTATGTTTGATTGAAAATCTAAATTTCAATTGTAGCAACATAAGCCTCTAATGGATTCCTTAGTTTTTCAAAGTACAGATGGTGGTGCACAAGACTACCGTTTAGACAAGTAAGAAATACAATAGATCGGAAAGACCAGTATTGCCGAACGTTATAAAGCTGACATTTTGCGTTTCCACTGAGTAAAGTGATAGCCGGCTTAAAGCTAGCTTCCATTTAGCCCCCAATAAATTGCTGATCCATTAAAGCCAAAATGACAACATCCACTGGACAGAGATGACAGCTTAGATATATACTTTTAAACTGGTTGGCCCATTAAAACTACAGGTGGGGGGTGGACTGAAACAGGATTAAAAGGTAGTGAATTAGAGTTCTAGATTTTAAAAATTCTACATTAATTCTATGAAGACAAAGGTCTCACATACCGATATTTTAGAACTTTGTGATGTTGTGGGTTACATTTACCCATACGCCATAAAAGGATCGCTTTTATTATTTTCAAAATTTTCATTTTTGAACACAGGTTATAAATGACTTTGCAAGGTCAAAGGTCATTGACCTAGGATGCCCATTCATACTTATATTTTTTATTTCTGATATATACTGCTTTTACAAACTTTTAAGGATCATATTTCTTTTATTTCTTTGTTGACCTTTTAAACAAAAGTTATTGTGCTTGTTCTTCATTTGTATTGTGTAGTGTTTAATATCAGTTTTACAGCAATTAGAAAAATTGACTTTTTACTACTGAATGTTATCAAATGAATGCGTCTTTCCACTACAGAATGTTAAAGGGCTAGACCAGTTTATTTTACAACGTGGAGAATAACTCTTATTATGTGTGAAACTATATCTAAACCCTTTATCATCAAATTTGAAGTTTCCTATTGTAATTGATACAAGGCCAGTTTTTTCATGTGAATGGTTTCTTAGCGTCTGGGAAAGCTGGGAAAGGATTTCCGAGACCACGGACATGCGCAGAAGGTTTTGTTCACAAATAGCGCCAAATTTCGATCAGAAATATAAAATTACCTACGTACGTTATGGATCATTATCATTATAGCAAAATTCACAAAATCTCAATAATGAGAAATGAAAATAACAAATTTGATCACTACTTTTATTTTTTACTGGGTCTTCTGGTCGGAAATATGTGTAGTTTACACTGATTGGTTCAATTGGTCCAATCAAAATTGAGTTCATAATCATAGATATCTAATATCAACAAGCTCAAAATTTGCTAGTTGCTATTTTCCAGAACGGTAATAATGGAGGCTGCGAGATTTGAAATTCTTAAGAATTATTTTATGGGTTGTGACTTAACACTTTTTTCCTGATTATTTCAAAAAAGATATTTGATAAAAGTCATTTTACCGTACCTTTATACTGTAAAATTGTTTGGATAGATAAGAAGAATAAAAAGTATTTCAAGTCATTAACATAAACAGGCAGAATTTATTTTATGATTATTTTCTATGTGCACATGATAGCCTTTGTAATTCTGTGTATGTGGCTACTTTTATTTTTAAAATCGGAGCATTGTGCCTAAAGTTATTGTCATAAATGTTTAAGTACTTTTAGTTCTTATTTAGTAATGGCGGCCATACTTATTTTTTTCGCTAAAGTCACTTTTATAATATTTTTATGTTGGCATGCTTTGTCTCGAACTCATGGTACAATTCAAGATCATTAACTTTATATTTTTCAATGTAGAGATACTGAATATCATTAACATTTCGAATTTGGGAGTTCATTAATTGATTAATGGTTTGTTTGGAGGGTACGTTTTATTGTAAGTATCTTGTATATCATTCATATTGTAAGAGACGACCAAAAATCGTTCCGATTCCACCAATGTCCGAAATATTCTTGGTTATCCTGTCAACATTTTATGTTATTTCTGCATATATATTATTGTTACTTATGCTATGCTTATGCTTATAAAGTGTTTACTTATCTTTGTGTTTTGAATTTTCGGAGCGTGAAACAATATACTGTATACTTGAATCATTAATTTTTATAGGTCTACCATTAAAAATTACTTTCTTTTACTTAGTTTACTAAATATGAACATCACAATAGTTGTACACAAAACTTTAAACTTGACCCTTGTGCCAATGCCTTTTATTTAATAGTAACTTGTTACTTGTTAAATCTCTACAATTTATTGTAAGACAAAAAGTGATTGATCTTAAAATTCAATACCGGTACTCAACATTCTTAAGCTAATAACTAATCAACTGTCAGTGAGTGTGGCATTAAGCTTGGCATTAAGGATTTGGGAATTCCCTTTTTGACCCATTTTCGCACAAGCGCCCTTGCTGGCCATACATATTTTGCTATCGGCTATAAGCTTAAATCATGTCTGAAAATGTATTAGCTTATGTGAAAAGCATAGTGGTCTTTAAGGGGTAATGAAACAAGTTGGTTGCAGTCTGACAAAGATTTTTAATCGGAATAAAATCACTTGAAAGCAATGGAATCAATTGAAATGCGACCTTGTCTAAACTCGCTAACCCGCCATCTCCACTTCTTTATTTGTCCCTTCCAAATGTATAAAATTTACTCCCAAATACATATTGTACATAGTTAAATGCAGACTTGAACCAGCTTTTTATTGATATATTTTTAAATACTTTTTATGGTCGTGTGTTTCCTAGAATTGTCAGTTTGAAGTCAACATTTTCAACATTCTCATTCGGCTATTCCATTTTCATCAAACGGCCATTGGCTTGTGATTTGGCTTTAAATAGGAAGTAGGAAGATGTGGAAAGGATGAGTTCTATGAATCTGGTCAAATTATGATTTTTTCTTTGTATCAATTTTTCTTAAATTTAGGTTAGTGTCAAATATTATGACTGTGACTGTGACATATTCAATTTTTTCACAACATTTGAGGCACACAAAATCACAATTCAACGATATTATTAGTCTATTTCTTTTAACGCCGTTCTGCCAATTCTCAGATATATAGGCCATGATTTTACTAAAATCTGGCATGTTTACTCAATCTGCATGATATACTAGATGATGATCGATCAACATGACGTAAGTGACCATAGCACATCAATGACAATAGATGTCTGGATATTCCAGTCGACTCCCTTTGAAATTGCAGTCAAGCTTAAGAATAATTTGTTTTCCTTACGTGAAAAATTGGACAAAAATATGCTGAAAATGATCTAGATCTGTGTTTAGGTTACTTTCAGGATTCAAATTTGGGGATTGGTACCAGATGAAATATAAGCTTAATATTAACAATTTTTGTTATCTAATTAATCTTCTGCAAAATCTAAGCCTAGCCTAGCCTAGGCCTACTTACTTATGTCGAAATCGACGAGAATGCTCTTTCCAAAAAGGCACACTCCAGGTTTGAGGAAAAAATCTTAATAAATAGATCTCACACCATATATAAGCTTTTAATTTTAATAAATCATATCATCCTGTAATTTGATGCAACATCAGATTATTTTTTTTTCTGTCACGGTTACAGCAACTTAGCCTACACTAGTCATTGACGCTTGACGGCCAGCCTATTTTTAGAGGGGGGAAACTCCTAGATGCGATGTCAGCTCAAATCCTCCTATATAGATCTCTGTGATTTAATTTATTGTAAAACAAATTGATTGATCTTCATAGATCATTGATGTAGAAAAAAATTGAACAACAATGTCTTAAAGTTAAGGAGAACAGTCAGCATTTGCGGGGATTGATTTTGGACTTGTTCTTTATTGTGCTTTAATAGTCTTAAGAAGTACTAAAACACACGAAAATCCTATGATCTCTTCAAATATAAGCTTACCTCACACTTGAATTTTCACGTTGTGTATTCCTATATATAGGCCTATGTGTTTCTAAATATGGCATACCTTCACTAAAATTTGACTTGAATTTTTAACTTTCAAACGTAAATAATTATGGATACATATCGATTTGAAGGCTCAGATTTCGACATTGAGCTGCGAGTGTGAACACTATTACAAAAAACTAAGGTATGATTGGTCGAACTGATATAGAAGGTGCTACTTTAAATAAATGAAATCTATTCAATGATAATTTATTTGGCGACAAAGGCAGACAGGAGCCTGAGACTGAGAGGGAGGGAAAGTCAATGATCAAAAGACATTATGGTACCTTGATAGACTACTTAGGTCACATACGGTATATCTAAATAAAATACTTACATTAAATGACAAACTTGATAAAATGTTGAAATAGTAGACAAACACTCACACTGCGATCTCGAACTAAATGAAGTAAGGAGTTTCGGCTCACTCACGCCACAACGTGAAAACACACAATTTCTATGCGTGTCACATCGGCTGATCACTGAATGACCTCTGACCCTAGTCGATCCCCAGAAAAACACTCAACAATTCTGATTCCTCAAGTGCCCTTGATCAACTTTGACAAAACAAATTGAATGATAATTTTATGCAGCAAGGTAGATCACTATTCGTTGATAAAACGGTGAAAATCGGTTGAAAATAATCAATGGTAGTCGACCTTGACTCGGAAGTAATAATATCATGTGACGTGACTGGCTCTAATGTAAACAACTCCACGTGGAAAAATAAAAGTAGACTTAAATAATGCATAGCCTAGGCCTACACAAAACTCTGAATGAACATCAATTAAAAAAGGAACACCATAACAACGCCCGCAACGCCCCAAACCACACACAAGAATCTCATCCAGCACAAAACGCCAGCGTAAGAAAACAGAAAAACATGCATACATAAAGCAAAAGCAGACATATATCCACAACTCGCCAAGACCAGCGACAACAAACATCAACAAAAGACAAAAGACAAAACAGCCACATCAGCGAGGACAAGGAAGCACGACAAGGAACATATTAATACATATCGCACCATGCTCCTCCTACCGATACCACCCACTGCAGTGCCCAATCATCCACATCTCAGTGAGCTATAGACGCCAGCTTCCACCACATATTCACTCGTTGCTCTTCCACACTACCACCCCGACAAAGACTCATGCATGTTAACCGAAACGCCACAAAAATCACGGAAAAGAGCAATTCCATTGACCATAACAGTCCACCTACCTATTTCATATTCATGACACAACTAGGCCTACGTGTAGCCTATGACTATGAGATGGATAAGTTTATGCTAACGTGATCAAGTAACATGACGTCATAAACACTTAGTTTTAGGGGAATTACAGGAACCACAGACGTCTGATTGAAAATGGTGCAAATTGATGCTATCAGCGTCCCCAATAAGCATAATTTAGAAAACCTCTTTACATGCCACCCGTTTTTTTAAAACAATTTTTTTTTATGATGATGATGATGGTGTTTCGATAAAGTCTGCTATAAACTCAACCCGCTAATTCAACTGACATCTGTTTCGATCTTAAATCGCGAAATCTAACCTTCTAAAACTTTTCCCAGAAATCTCGTTGCAATCTTTCCAATATTTCCCATGCGAGGCTGGCCAATACTTAGTGTCTGCAAAAATATCAGTAAATCATGACCGTAAAAATCTTTATTACGTCAAACTCAAACTATAGACCACCACATTTTATCATCATCTGTATGCCACAGCACACATAACGACTATTTTTAGAAGTATCCTTCCGCATGTAAATCTCTCATCAGCTCACAAAATCTGATAGAAAAGACAATTTAAAGGATCAAATTCCCAAATCTAGACAAAAAATCAGTCAAAATAGGCATTTCGAAACCCCAAAAGTAAAGAGAAACAGGATTTCTTAAAATAGCACAGACTACATTCGTATACAATCATTTGCATATTTTGCCCAAGTGTTGGGCCTTTTCCTGCTCGGTAGACCGCCAGCACTCGGTACAAGACACCAAACCAAAGGAAAAACCATTACAGAAAGAATTGGAAGTTTCCCACAGGCCACATAGAGCGAAAATGCCAAGACCTAGCTTTGCCAAATGGGTTTATTTTGCCCAAGTGTTGGGCCTTTTCCTGCTCGGTAGACCGCCAGCACTCGGTACAAGACACCAAACCAAAGGAAAAACCATTACAGAAAGAATTGGAAGTTTCCCACAGGCCACATAGAGCGAAAATGCCAAGACCTAGCTTTGCCAAATGGGTTTATTTTGCCCAAGTGTTGGGCCTTTTCCTGCTCGGTAGACCGCCAGCACTCGGTACAAGACACCAAACCAAAGGAAAAACCATTACAGAAAGAATTGGAAGTTTCCCACAGGCCACATAGAGCGAAAATGCCAAGACCTAGCTTTGCCAAATGGGTTTATTTTGCCCAAGTGTTGGGCCTTTTCCTGCTCGGTAGACCGCCAGCACTCGGTACAAGACACCAAACCAAAGGAAAAACCATTACAGAAAGAATTGGAAGTTTCCCACAGGCCACATAGAGCGAAAATGCCAAGACCTAGCTTTGCCAAATGGGTTTATTTTGCCCAAGTGTTGGGCCTTTTCCTGCTCGGTAGACCGCCAGCACTCGGTACAAGACACCAAACCAAAGGAAAAACCATACAG